AATTTACAGGACTACCCAAGACTTGATTATCCACCCCGACTCGGCGGTGAGAGAACATGTCTGACCTTTTAACCAGAAGAAACTTCTCGAACACTTTCTTGTTTGTGTTTGCAGACAGAGATCCAGATCTAATCTCAGCAGCTTACACCTTAGGCTCTACTTTACTCCAGCTCATCATTCATCTCTACACCTTCACATCCACTCACTCTGTCTCCTCAACACCTGCTGCCATGGCAACCCACACCCCCTCCCCTTTTAGCAGCACACAGAGGCATGCTGGGTAATTTGACTTCATCTGGAACATTTCTCCTGAAGGAATTTATTATTATTTTTTTGTCCTAGAACCATTTTTACCTCGTCACACGCAGGTTTTCCTGCTTTAGGTGGACAGAGATAATGAATTATAAAAGGCCTTTTTTAAAAACTAAACCCACACATAGATGCCGTCAAAGCACATTTCTTCCTACTTGTATGATCTTCTGTTTCCTCTCCACTGTACGAATTTTCTTCTTCGGTACACAATTTAAGAAAAAAAAAAGTTTTTTTGGTTTATTTTTTGCTTATTTGGGGAAGTATTGGTCATCATTTTTTGTAAGAGAATACGTATTTACAAATGAAAGTATACATTTTACTGCAATAATGATGATGTGCTATAATTAGCTTTAATTGAAACACACATATTTGTTAGGATTTGTTTGAGTTTAGTAGTATTTTTTCCATCTATATTGAGTGCCTGCGTTAATAAGATAAAGGGAATAAAATGCAGTAAGTGGTTGACCAGTTAAAGGGTTGACAACCATGAACTTGAATATCCATACTGCTGTTTAAATTTGAGAAACATTTGTCATGAATATAATAGATTCCAAACTTGATTTTTCTTATTTTTCTCAGTTTCAGTCTACCAGAACATTTTTAGAGGGATTTCTTTTGTCACACATGACTTAACCAGAAATGTGTGTGTTTGTTAGGAAATGGTCATCTTCCTTTGTAAACTCTTCTAAAAACACGTGTTAGTCATTTAAAAGCCTAGCAGCATGACCCAGGTGCATATTTTCCTTCATAGACACTTTCTGTTGTAAGAAGGAATCTTTAGGCATTCTTCCAGCCCCTCACCTCCTTTCTCTGTGACTTCTTGTTGCTTCTAAACTGTTTAATGACCTTAAATGGATATACTTCCGATACATTTTATCAATAAAACAAACTAAACAGTTTTCAGTTTTAAAATGTAGCTTGTTTAACTGAAAACACAACATGAATACATACATATTTACAACCTTTATTCAGAAAGTCCCTAACATCAGAATTATAGTGATAGCTGATGGAGATTAAAAACAAAACAGAAATGTAAAATAAAAACTTTAATTGAATGAGTAGATTTAATAAAAATGTAGAGACAATGTTTAGTTTTTATCATTAATCTCTGGAAAAATACATCAAAATGTTGTTGAAATCGGATTAAATTATGCCCAGTTGTTGAAGAATATTGCTGGCAACGTAACGTAAAACCATAAAAATCTGGTTTAAAATATATAGGGGCGGGTCCAAGCCACTGGGCGATGCCATATTTGCCATGTTTCCTTCTACAGGAGCCTGTGAGGACAAAATGCATTTAATGTTTTGTAACAATTACAAAACTTTCGCCATTAATAAACGTTGTTTTACACATTTACCTCTTCACTCGTAGCATTTATGGAAGGGAGTCTGATGTGCTTGTCATTTTGCCGGAGGTTGTGCTCCCAGGGATTTTTGACCCTAATGGCCATTTGTTGGTAAGGTCTTACTTGAACACACAAATACTGTGTGCTTGCAATGATTTATGTATGTACTGCCCCCCCACACAGTCACTTTACTTCATTATCAGATGAAGTAAAGTAATTTAAAGGCAGAAATTCACTTTTGGGCCCAATTAACATATTACATCAGTCACAGTTGAGTTAAATTACACGTTGGCTACCAAGCTAGTACCTACAGACGGACAACCATGTTTAGGTGGTCTGATTATGATAAAAATGGTAGCAGGAACTCAGGAGGGAACGCGGGTTGTCCAGTAATCTGAGGGTAGTAGGATTGATCCCGGCTCCTGGCAGAGAATTCTGCTGTTTTGTCCTTGGGCAAGACACTTAACCCACCCTGCTGGTGGTGGTTGGAGGGACAAGTGGCTTCTGCTTGGAAAGCCTCACCTCTGTCAGTGTGCTCCAGGGTAGCTGTGGCTACATTGTGGCTCATCACCATCAGTGTGTGAATGTGTGTGAATGGGTGAATGATACACTGTAGTGTAAAGTGCTTTGGAGTCTCTGAAAGGTGCTATACAAGTGTGGGTCATTTATCATTCAAGTCCAATCTAAAAGTTCCTGAGAACAAGGAGTCAAACCATGGGTGGAGTCTTACTTCACCCACACTTCCTGTTAGAAAAATGTGCCTAAAGGAGGCGTCGCTTGGCGGAACGAGAGAGGGGCACTTAGGCAGTGATTTACAGTGCCCTCCCCCACACACCCCCAGAGTTTCCCAGTACACAAGCGCACACATACAGTTGACTCACTACTCAGGAGAATGAGCAAATGCAGAAACTACAGCAGGCTGGAGGATTTCCTGTCCACTGCGATCACTAGAAGAAAGGGAGGAGGGGAAGGATGTGTTTTTTTTTTAAGGAGGAGAGTGGCTCAGAGCTGTAACGTGTCATATTGGCAGGTGAGTGGCGGTGTGGCTGAGACTCACCTGGAGTCCAGTGCAGTGCAGCCACATATGGTAAAGACAACGTCACATCGTACATCTTAGCCATCAGCTGTGGCTGATTCTTATTCAGTATGTAGCAGAGTTTAAACCTGAAGGTGGAGATGTAATTAAAGTTTTAGGCTGAAATATTAAGTATGTTGCACTAAACTGCCAAAAGAATGAGTAAACATGTCTGCAGTACTATTAGACAATCTATACAGGTTATCAGCAAAAAAGTTGATTTAGGTGTTACTCGCCCTTTAAAAGTTACACCAAGTTATAATCTTGGATGGACTGAACAGTGACTCGATTCACCAAACTAAGGCTGGAGAGAGAGAGAGAGACATACTGGCTGCACATCCTCATGGAGGACGAACACTGACACAATTCTGGTCTTAGTTGTGTCGTGGGAAATGTTCTTTCACCAACCTATATGGCCCACCATTTCTTCAGTCACGAGTCATGCCCCTAACACACAGGCAGAACTTGTGACCTGATCCTTGTAAACATGCCTGGTGCTGCATATCCTTACTCCTTTTGTGTTTACTCTCCTTGATGTTGTGTTAAATATCATTTATACAATTTCGAAGGTTTTTAAACCCAAATGTGTAAATTATAAAATTGACTGAAACAATGATGAAAAGTAAAAATTTACCCTTCAGTCTGTGTCACATTGCGGTGGAGATGGTGGACCCATGTGTGGTAGAGCTAGCCTGGCAAGCCAGACTAAATAAATGTATTATTTAGTCTGGCCATGCTCCATTGACGGCTCTCGGTTGTGGGGCGGGTTCTACCGTTGTCTTTCAAATGATCTCCACATTCCATTGGACAATGAATGTGACATACTCTTGTTTCACTCTGTTGCATCATCCCACCCACCAGGCATATAGAGTGCCCTGATTGGCCCACAAAGCAGATAAAGCTCTGTGATTTGTTCACTAAGCAGATAGAGCACCATGATTGGCCCACCATTATGGACCAATCACAGCTCTTTATGTGTTTGAAACCCCTCTAGAGAGCTGTGATTGGCCAGCCAGAGTCCTGGTAGGAGCTGCTGAGGTTCCAATGGAGCATGCCTAGACCAAACTTTGCAAAGCAAGAATTTGGTCTAGTTCACTAGGCTATGGTAGAGCTGGACCAGGAGGCAGAAACAGCAGATCAGGCAAAATTGGTTTTAATAATGGCAGGTAGGATGAGGGGATCAGTCCAGACCACTTCACAAGGGAAGTTCTAGTCTGACGTGGCAGTAACAGTTTCACAACGGTGCAGACTGTTGGTGTAGGGTCTCAGGGTCAGTGTACCTACGATCTGAAATATTTTTCTAAAATTAAAGGGGATGTTATTAAATTGTTTCACTGCTTCAACTGCATCCATCACTCATCTTAAAATCAGGGACTAAACCCGCATTAGGACGAGTTTAGATATTAGAGCTGATAAAAAACAGGAGCCTGAGGTTTGAGTCATCTATAACATTAAAACTCCCATGTACAATACGTGGCAAGTGAGAAATAGGGATAAAAATTAAGGATAAAAAGATTGTAATGCCACCCTGGGTTAACCTCCCCAGAGAAGGGTAGAAGGCCTGTAGGTTAAAAAATAAATAAATAAAATCACAAATGGGAACAGATGGTGTCTTTCTGATAGAATAAATCTTTATTTAAATATTCAAGCTAAAAACATACAGGAGTTACGTGCTCAGAGTCCAATACCACCAGAAGTAACCACTTTGGCCTAGGACCAACAAATACTAAATGAAGTTAAACCAACACACACCAAATAATGAAATACATGAAAAACTTGGCTAATGAAATAGAATACTTCCTTTTAAGCCTGTGGGCTTTCTGGTGGTTGCCCCGGCAACCAGGCGTCTAACGCCCAACAATTCACTAACACAAATCAATACAGACAAAACAGCAGTGATGCAGCCCTCTGGGCACACCACCGGTTCTGGTGGTCGTGGCAGGACAGCGAAATGGAGCAGCAGAGGGGCCGGTGTACCGCTGCCGACATCAGACGCTCCACTGATCTCTGTGGAGCGCTGCAGGCAAAGCCGGATGACGAAGCAGCTCCTAAGCCAAACAGCGCGGGCAGCCACACCGCAGACAGACAAAACTGAATGGTCCCCCTGGATCAGCACAACCCTCCAAGCAGAGGTGAGGACTTACGGTGGTTGCGCTGCTGGATCGGATCAGCCTTCATACAGCTGACACACCCGCACGGGCATAGAGCTGACAAGTACCTGGATGCAGTATTAGCCCTCTAACCTCATGCAGAGCTCCATTCTGCGATCACCCGCTACCAACAAATTAAGACAAAAATGAGCATGAACTAACGCCGCACCGGCAACACGGAGGGAGTGTACTTACGATCGCGAGTTGGAGTTGGAGTTGGAGTTGGAGTTTCTCATTACCCCGGCACTTGAAGTGCCATACCAGAGCTGTCTTACTGAAAGAGCAGGCAGCTGCCTTTTATTGGATGGCTCACCCCGCCCTGCAATCAATCTAATGTGAGCCACCTGGCTCTGTACTGGCATGGGATCAGACAAGATCTGTCCATCCCATCACAAATACATACATTTTTATAGTTCACACAAACTGTTTTTGTTCATATACATAATTATGTCAACATTTGTCTAAAGAAACAGATAAAAAAACTGTAATTAATATAAGACAGACGAATAGTTATGTGAATAGAACAGTTTGTTCTCTCTGTTGTCTCAGCTTTTTTAATCATCTAAAAGAAAGAAACCCCTTCAGGAACATTTGTTTCCTTTCCGCTCCAGTGTTGGGTATTACCTCTCTCTGCCTTGGACTCGCTCTGCCTTTGCAGGTAGGAATCCCAAACATGACGACAGAAGCTGATGCTGCAGCAGTCTCCACTGTGGTGCTGAAGCTTTGATTCAGTAGTGTCCTTGATGTGTCAGAAAATTACAAAAACTGCAGCAGAAGCAAATCATCTGGCTACCCATCTGTTTTCAGGGCCACTTGGATCAGAAGGTGTCTTATTTCATAAACCCAAACAGTTTTCCATGATTTGAGTTGTGTTTGCAGCCCCTCCCTTCCTCAGCTGCGACATGTGCTGTGTTACGAGCAGCAACCACACAAAGCAGCAGCATCACATTACCGGCTGACCCTCTCCTAACGGAGCACATACACATTTACAGAAACAAAAACAGGACATTTTTCTAGACCCCCAGCAAAGAGACACAAATGCCTTCAGAAGAACAGACTGTACAGATGACTTTGTAGTTATTATTGACTGAACTGGATGCTCTCATCCTGCATGAACTCTAATTCATGCTCTTGATGCAGTTCTGCAGTTACATTATGCTACGATTGCTGCGTTAATACAAAGTTAATAATAGGTCCATTTGCCTCAGGGTGACATTTGGTCAGAGTATAATCACATCTTGCCTCTTGCTGGTAATGGAGAACACGGCAGTTCAAACTGAAGGCATGTGGATGCGTTCCGTCTGTGTGGATGGTAATGGACCTATCAGCAGGTCTAATACCTGCAGACTCAAGAGGTTCAGGTATTCATTCTGTGAATTTTTATCATCTGACTCAAAAATCCTTTCATCATTACAGCTGACAGCCGCTTGCTTTACTCATGTTAGCCCTCGATTTATCACACAATGCCTGAGAGCGTTGGTGTGTGTGTGTGTGTGTGCGTGTGTGTGTGTGCTGTATAAACAACTGTCACACAGGCAGGAAACATGATAAATTGCTTAAGGGGAATGCTTGTTTAGGTTGTAGTTTGTGACTGAGGATTAGACCAACTGTTGACACGCTCGCATGCACACTTGAGTGAGGATCATTATTCTGTAGCTAATATCAGTGAGATGGTTGATTTTGTTTACATTTTTGTCATCGGAGGGGAGTTGAACTCAGGACTGGTTGTAACAGATTCACTGGAATTGATGGAGCGAGCAGTCATGGAGATCTACATGCAATTAAATCCAATCTCACAGTGAAAGAAATGAAAATAGTGAGTTTTATTGGTAAATCAGTACTAGGGAGGCATTAACTGTTTAAATGAAATCATATGTCCCTTTGCCTTTCCTGCCAGAGTTGCACCAGACTATTTATAAATGATTCAATTATCAATTTTGTTTAAATCTTAAATATAAGGTACCTCATAGTTCCACCTGAGCTCGAGCTCTGTTGTGTTGTGAAAGCTGGTACCAGGTATAGAGACATGTATTCTTGGGAGGTCTGGCGAATCGTGTGCCTCTCTCAGTTGTCCATCGAGGACGTGGAAGATTTGTGGATATTCGGCCTGATGATCACTGGATTTCCTCTGATTGGAGTGGGAGGATATCTGGTTTTCTGGTAATTTGGGAAGACGGGAGCGATTGGAGTGCGACCCGCACCCATGGAATGTGCCGCCCGGGCGGTGACCTCACAGACTGGGACGTTACTCAAGGTGAACCGTAAGCTGGACAATGTCCTCGCGGCGTTGCCTGTGTTAGTGCGCAAGATGGATGTCATCTCGGAGAGGGTCGCCGGACGGTGTGGGGATGTTTAGAACACATAAATTGGCTTCACTTGTGGACATGAATGACCACTTAATAGACTCCAAGGCAGAGGGGAAAATTATCTCTGTCTGCCCTAAACAAAGTCTTGCTTATCCTTATCTGACGCCAAGCAGCCTCCAAGGCTGCCTTCAACTCACCCCCACGAAAGGAGGAATGCTGACAGATGCTGTGTCCCGACCTTCCCCCCCTGCCTTCAGATTGTGACTTCGGCTTTGAGGTCATCGACCTGCAGGAACTCAATGCACTCTCTGTTCCTCATTTCTCCCTCCCACCTGTCGACTGCAGCTGGTGAAGCGCCGTAATGGCAGCTCCCGTTGGAGGATTCAGGATCCCGCCCAACCCCGCCTCCCCATCGGACTCTGATGTTGTGTATCTGTGATGTTCGTGCTTCTATGTTGAGGAGTTTTTTTTGCATAATAGAGTTACTCCTCACTGGGTCTAACTCTGCTATGCCTTTTTTTTACCTTACCCCAATTATCCTCATGTAACACCCTTTTCATCTAATGAAATGAGCGCCGTTATGGCTGCTCTCGCGACTGCCTGTACCTGTTTTTGTCTACATGTGTGTGTGTTTAACCTTGGTCAGGTTGTGTTCGCGGAGTCAAGTTCCTATGCTCTGGGTCGCTGGAGCGCTGGCAATAAAGCTGATTCTGATTCTGATTCTGATGTATGTGTGTTATTAATGTTACCAATGAACTGGGTTGACCTCGAAGGTCAGTCAGGTGTAAATGTCCATCCCAGTGAAGGCTCTCCTGGAGTTTTGTTAAAATGGATTCAGTGGTTCATGATATAATTTACTAACACACATATATGCACAAACTCACTCATCATCATCATCATCATCATCATCATCATCGTCACCACCACCACCATCATTATCACCACCATCATCACTGTAGCACAGTAGGTAGAGCGGGTTGTCCAGTAATTTGAAGGTTGTAGGTTTGATCCTGGCTACCGGTAGAGAACACCGCTGTTGTGTCCTTGGGCAAGACACTTAACCCGCGTTGCCTGCTGGTGGTGGTCGGAGGGACCGGTGGCGCCTGTGTTTGGCAGTCTCACTCCAGGTCAGTACACCCCCAGGGCAGCTGTGGCTACACTGTAGCTCATCATCACCAGTGTGTAAATGTGTGTGTGAATGACTGACTGTGTTGTGAAGGGCCTTGGGGGGTTGTAGAACCCTAAGAAGGCGCTATACAAACACAGGCCATTTACCATCACCATCATCATCACTCTCCTTTTGCACTAAGTGTTAAATGAACCCCTTTGATGTGAGCTGATCAGAAACCCACTGATGGTGAATCTGTAAACCGGTTAAAGGAAAATAAAAGATTAATCTATTTGTCCCCTTGAGACCAATGAATAATCACTCAGAACTGGATCTCTTAGTGGAACCACCATCTCCGTTCCTGCTGGTTTCCTTTGTGTGAGTCGGGTATGCATATGTAGTCAGAAAAACACAATCTTTAGATTTTTTGCTGGCAGATCTGCCGATAGGGGCAGTAGGAAATAAGACGTGGTGATTGAGAAAGGACCTGACAATCAGGTCTCATTCTTTCCCCTCCCTCCCTCCCTCATTCATTCTTCAGTCTCTTTTCCCTCCTTCTTTCACTCTGCCTTTTGCCTTTTTTCTGGCTGGTTGTGGTCACTGGGCTCCTGCCTGAAAGCAGGTGTTTTCCTGCCTGTCAGCAGGGGGGATGTGGAAGAGAAAGCTGATCAACAGGACTATAGGCTCCCGCAGGAACAGCTCGCTTCTGTAAGTCCTCTCAGCCATGACCTGGTGTCTTCAGTGATTCTGTCAGCGGGCTGTGGTCGCAGCACGTGTGTGGGTGCTGTTCAGGTGAAAAGGTAGCACCGAGGGAGTCTGTGCTGATCAGGAAGGATGGCATTGTCTTATTTTTATAGCACGTGAACTGCTCAGGCTTATTTAATATGAAGGGTTGCTTGTCAGCACTGAACAGATAGATGCAGCTGAATCAATGTTTCCAGATTTCTGTCACATCTTACATTTTCAGATTTAAGTATTTTACAATGATTAATGATACAGTACTTTATATACATAAATAATTTGATAAGAATTCAGCATGTCCTGGATGTTGTGACACCTAAAGTGCTAATTTCAACCAGATGATTTCCTCCCACGTCACCCTCACCACACAAGTATGAAGGAAACTCTAAGCTGTTGGAGAAAAAGTCAGAGCTTTACCTCCAGATTACCTGTCTAGTTTAGTTTTAAGGTAGTAACACTCCAGTGCACTATTTCAGAGCACCGCTGTGTTTGGAATAAAATGATAACGTTACAGCCCTTTATCGATGTGTAGCAATTCCTGCTGAATTAAAGCATCATTATTGTATTTCTGTTATTTTCAATGTTAAACAATGGAGCTGTTCTGAAATTAGAATATCTCTTCATACATAGTTAGATTTTGGGAAATATGACTGATGTTATTTTATTCATGAACATGATACCATAGATTTAAGTTATTTACTGTCATTTGTTACCATATCTGATCCAGTAAGTTGAACCTGAAGTGGGTAGAAGTCTTCCAGCTTTTGCTTTTCAAAGAGAAGATTGGGTATTGGATGGAGTCTGGTGCGGTCTTTTCTCAGATCAGCCACACCAGACTGTGAAGTACGCATGAACATTAATACGTGCTACTGATGTGCAAAGATCACAGAAAAACTGAAAGTTAAATGTCTTTGGGGTGTTTTTTGAGAGTAAAAGAGTAACTTTTCTTCTATGTACCCATAACTTGTGGTGGTATTAGTCTATCTTAAGGTTAGGTTTGTTGCCAGAGGCTTAAATCTCTGAGTTCAAACACCAGTGTGAGGTTTTCTTCCAGGGATTTTGCCCTGATGCCTTGTAACAAACATCCTTCTGTTGTAAGCAGCACACAACCTCCTCTGACACAATACCTGTCTGTGTGCGATCTACACACACACGTACATGCACGTGTGCACGCACACACACACATGTACATGCACAAACCAGAAGTACAAATTGCGTAGCTGGGATTGCAGATGCCACAGGTGCACTTGGTTGTGTTCCACCTGCACAAACAGGCTGGGTCACTTTACTGGTGATGATGAGGTTGGAGCATTTTAGTCAGAATGTGTTCAGAATGAGGCGTGTTTAACGTTAGGCACTTTCAGTTATATCATGTCTTTTTGTTTTTGTACTGATTTCCCTGGTCAAGGAGATTTATTTGGGTCTACAGGTGAAACTCAAAGAATATGTTGCAAACGCTCATTTATTTCACTAATTCAAGTTCAACTGAAATTAATATGATGTAGATTCATTAGATGTAAAGATATTTCAGCCTTTATTTGTTATAATTGTGATGATTATTTCTTACAGCGTATGAAAACCCCACATTCAAAATATTAGACAATTAGAATATTGCGAAAAGGTTCAATATTCTAGATGCAAAGGGTCACAGTCTAATCAGCTAATGAATCCAGAACACCTGCAAAGGATTCCTGATGCTTTAGATGGTTTCTCAGTCGAAGTTGAATTACTGACATAAAATGACTTTTGCACCATATTCTTATTTTTGGAGTTTCTAGTTAGGTTTATAAAAGTCTGGTGTGTCCCAGTTTTTCCAAATCTAGTTTATAACTAAAACGAGTCAGTAGTTCGTTATTAGACACTCCAGCAGACACTGGAATCTCTGTTTTCACATTTCCTTTCACACACCTCTGAACTCTTTCCTGCTTTTTTTTTTTTTTTTTGCTTATATTTTTGCTTTGACCATGCTGATGCTTATTTCGGCTGCTGTGTGAAACCAGATCTCTGTGGCTGTCAGAGTAAACGGCATCAGACACTAAGATGCCTTTCTGAAGTCTGATGTGAAGGCATTGTGTGGAGCCAGACTGCTGCAGATATTCAGAATCATCTGTGCAGCTTTTAATTCAATCCTGATGAGTCTGTCTTCTGCTAAGTATCTGCATTGATCATTCTTTCACTGATCAACGATTTACTGGGAAACTCCTATGACTGTATTTTCCAAAAGCTTATCTCTGAAGAACTTTGTGTGTTGATATTTATTCTGGCAACACATCTATATAAACTGTGTTTCAGGGTTGGATGTTGGGCTGGTTGGATGCTTTTCTTCATTTTGTTTTTATACACATTTGTTTCCCATTGTTTACTTTCACTTTGCTGCTTGGTTTATCCAATCAACCTTAGTGGTTAAAGTTAAAGTTACTTGTCCAAGAGCACAGCAGCAGAATTCCCTGTGGGAGCTGGGATTGATCCAGCAACCCTCCGATTACTGGACATCTCATTCTACATCCTGAGCTTCTGCTGCTCTATAAAATAATCACATGAAAAAAAACTTAAGTTAATGAAGTCAGCCCTTCTTTCATTAGTGCCATGCGAGAAAACTGCTGAAACCACCCTCTCCTGTTGTCAGATAAAGCACAAACATTAGCAAGCTTCCTGTCGTTTTTAGGGAGACGTCCCACCTCCGAGGAGCCACAATTTGCAGACTTTTACCATATATTTGATAAAATGTATCATTTCTATCAAATTGATGAAAGGTGACAGTTTTTAGTTTTAGTTTATCATCTGCTTTATTCTACCCATCTGATAAAACTTATTGCTGTTGGACAATTATTTTCTGCTGCTGTATATTTCTGTAAAGTTTCATCCCTTCAGTGTTAATTGGGCAACTAAATTACTTTTTCCTCTTTGATTTTAAATAGTCAGTTTTTGTATTTCCTTTTGTACTTCTTTTCTTTTGATGCTTTTACATTATTTTGAATGAAAAGTTTGTGGTTTAGGCTAACTTTGGACTTAAAGCATGCACAATTGATCAGATCTGTTTACTGGCCCTATAAAAGATTAACTCCTCAGTTTGAAGATACTGCATTTGATTGAATGTCCCATGATTACGCTGCAGATTTGCTATTTACTATGATGTGAAACAAATTATTCAAAACATCATGTTTCTAACAGGATAATTGATTTTCAGTGAGAGCTTAGTTAAATTTTTATTAACCAATAAATCACTCAGTCAGCAGCAGTATTATTTACTTCAAATGACGTTTCTTTGTGTTTGTGTGGCTTTGTGTTCTCACGAGAAGCTATGTAACTCCTTCCTCTTTCTGACAGACCCTTTTCTGTCGTTTCTCTCTTCCAGAGCTGAAAAGACAGAAGTTCTGAGTGACGATCTGCTGCAGGTACTGTTGAGTCTTCTCTTCTTCAAGTGTTTGCTGTATGTGTGTGTGAGAGAGAGAGAGCTTCCCCTCTCTACAACAATCATTATTGGTGCAAAGTATTCTGTATGTATAAAATGACTTTTTCCAAATGTGCATCTGGACTGCCTTCAGGCGGCTTTAATGAGCGCTGAAATTGAACTTCTCTCCAAGACAAAAGGCTGAGCGTCCCCGCTGATTGATCAGGGTGCAGCATTGTAATTGATCAGATTAATGATGCCGCCAGAGACAGCGACCTCATTTCCAGTGTGTTGGTTTAATAATGGAGTGAGAGGCATTTAGGAACAACAGGCAGCACGTTCTTGTCTCAGACTGGGAGTGAAGCTGTTTTTGTGTTCATATAGAAGATAAACAGCTGCAGAGTTTTTTTTAAAGAAGCTTAAAATGTGTGCTTATGATCTTATGTCATGATAATGCAGCTTTATCTCAGGATAAGGAAATAATAGATTTATTTAGCTTAACCTGATAATTATAAATTCTTTTAAAATCACAATAATACATTAAAGGTCTAGCACTTCTTGGAGGAAAGCATAACTTTCATGTCTAAGTTTTAACCCTCTCAGGCTCAAAATAAGTTTTGACAAGAGGACGAACAACTGAGTCCTTCAGGGGTACTTCTGAGTTAAAAAATGCTCATGAAGTACGTATGTGGAGTAACCAGGTAGGTAGGTTTTTACGTTGCAAGTCTGCAACGCCTGCCTCCAGAGGGTTAAGCTAAGATTATCTAAAGTAAGTGATGAAGTCATGGTTGTTTAGGTCAAAATCTGATGATTTTGAAGGAGCATCATCTACCAAAAGATCTGAATTTAGTTGGCAAAACTTGTGTTTTCTAGCTGTGGCAGCCATATTTAATTGCGTTGGATCCTAAAGTATTGTGACTCATTTTGTCATTTTGTTCTCATGGAAAACCAAAGTAAATGTTCTCAGCAATACATCCTGATACATCTCTCCAGATAATAAAAAGTAATGAGCCTGATTATCCCGCGATAACAGCATGAGTAACGTGAGGTGTTTTCTGCTTCTGTGTGGAAGGTTTTAAAGGTGGGGCTAACTGAGAACTGTTTAATACTTGTTTTTGAAATACTGTCAGTCACGCTGAATTTCACATGTATGCAGAGGGTGAAAATAATCTTATAGCCATTGTTTTCTGCATTAGCTAATGAAATACAATAGATGGAGAAATGCTTGGGTCCTAAAATGGCACTCTCTTCTGTGTCACAAGGAAAATTAGCGTTCATGTACTTGCCAACCTTAGCTTGTATCCGGAGAAGGCTGTGTTGATTTTTGCAGCCAGTAGAGAGAAGAGCACACCTCAGCTAGTAGAAGCCAACCATTAGCATTAGCAGCTCCACAACATGACAGAACGTGTTCAGGCTTGTGGTATTTGTAGAGAGAAAATATCAGTGGTGCACTTTTTTTACTCAAGAAAGAAGAGCAAACGTGTTGCTGTAAGCCAGAGGCAAGATGTTTACACATCATGAATATTATTGAGAAAGACTCTAAATCGTGTCATTTGCTACCTCAGCTCTTCCGGCTTACTTCTACTTCCGGAAACATCGGCGCCAGAGCTTTTTTCCCACAGGAAATAACTCACAAGGCATTCATTTACACTAAGGACCACAACGGATTTAAATAGTCTATACCCACTTCAAAAATTCTTCTTCTTCTTTAAAGGTGTGGTTGCATTCACCCCTACTAGAGACCACTACAAATGTATTGAATATACGAGTTGACTACGCCTTTAAGCTGACTGCGTGTTGGTTAAATTTAGAACTATGCAGTTTCTAGTGCAGGTTCTTGTTTTGACATAAGTGTTTTTGTGTTTGTTTCAGGTTGAGAAACGCTTGGAACTGGTCAAGCAAGTATCCCACAGCGCACACAAGAAGCTGACAGCCTGTCTGCAGGGCCAGCAGGGTGTGGATGTGGACAAGAAGTCCGTCAGGTCACCCTCGGTGAGACTCCTAACAGAAAACATGATTTTAAATAATCCCTGTGGATTGGGAGGGGTATTTACTATTCTGGAAGTATCTCTACTTTAAAGACATAATTCAGTGACTTTATGATAAATTGTGTGATGTTATGATCAGTCAGCATCTTACCTGCAGCAGACAGTAGGGGTAATGTGAGGTCAAAGGGCCGAACACAGCTCCTAAACTCTGGAAATCCTTAAAAGAAAGGAAAACATGTTTTTGCTGTTCTTCATATTTGGGACAAAAGTTGGCCCTGATAAAATATGTAATTTATCTAATGAGGTCATAAGGTTTGAGGTTTTACTGAAGGAGCATTGGCTGATGAGAAATAATGAAGTCCTAAAATAAACAGCTGCAAAGAATTATTATAGTTTTTACGTTTGGTCTGTTGAGTTTTCTTGTCCATTTTTCTTGCGCCGGTCTTGAGTTTAGCTCTTATACTGAGTAATTTTATTTTGGTATTTCATGACTTCGTACTTTATAGGTTTTAGTCAAAAACATCTGTCAGAATTTGCTTGATATCTTATAGGTTTAGTCTACTTTTTTCTTCTTGTTTGTGTTTTAGCTGTTCACGCTTCTTCCAATCATCATAGCTTTTTTCTGTCTCCTTTATTCCTGCCTACAGGTTCTTCTCAAAAAATTAGCATATTGTGATAAAGTTAATTATTTTCTGTAATGTACTGATAAACATTAGACCTTCATATATATTAGAATCGTTACACACAACTGAAGTAGTTCAAGCCTTTTATTGTTTCTAATATTGATGATTTTGGCATACAGCCCATGAAAACCCCAAATTCCTATCTAAAAAAATTAGCATATCATGAAAAGGTTCTCTAAATGAGCTATTAACCTAATCATCTGAATTAACTATTTAACTCTAAACACCTGCAAAAGATTCCTGAGGCTTTTAAAAAACCCCAGCCTGGTTCATTACTCAAAACCGCAATCATGGGTAAGACTGCCGACCTGACTGCTGTCCAGAAGGCCATCATTGACACCCTCAAGCAAGAGGGTAAGACACAGAAAGACGTTTCTGAATGAATAGGCTGTTCCCAGAGCGTTGTATCAAGGCACATCAGTGGGAAGTCTGTGGGAAGGAAAAAATGTGGCAGAAAACGCTGTACAACAAGAAGAGGTGACCAGACCCTCAGGAAGATTGTGGAGAAGGACCGATTCCAGACCTTGGGGGACCTGCGGAAGCAGTGAACTGAGTTTGGAGTAGAAACATCCAGAGCCACCGTGTACAGGCGTGTGCAGGAAATGGGCTACAGGTGCCACATTCCCCAGGTCAAGCCACTTTTGAACCAGAAACAGCGACAGAAGCGCCTGACCTGGGCTACAGAGAAGCAGCACTGGACTGTTGCTCAGTGGTCCAAAGTACTTTTTTCAGATGAAAGCAAATTTTGCATGTCATTCGGAAATCAAGGTGCCAGAGTCTGGAGGAAGACTGGGCAGAGGGAAATGCCAAAATGCCCGAAGTCCAGTGTCAAGTACCCACAGTCAGTGATGGTCTGGGGTGCCATGTCAGCTGCTGGTGTTGGTCCACTTTGTTTTATCAAGAGCAGGGTCAATGCAGCTAGCTTTCAGGAGATTTTGGAGCACTTCATGCTTCCATCTGCTGAAAAGCTTTATGGAGATGAAGATTTCATTTTTCAGCACGACCTGGCACCTGCTCACAATGCCAAAACCACTGGTAAATGATTTACTGACCATGGTATTACTGTGCTCAATTGGCCTGCCAACTCTCCTGACCTGAACCCCATAGAGAATCTGTGGGATACTGTGAAGAGAAAGTTGAGAGACGCAAGACCCAACACTCTGGATGAGCTTAAGGCCACTATTGAAGCATCCTGGGCCTCCATAACACCTCAGCAGTGCCACAGGCTGATTGCTTCCATGCCACCCTGCACTGAAGCAGTCATTTCTGCAAAAGGATTCCTGACCAAGTATTGAGTGCATAACTGAACATGATTATTTGAAGGTTGACTTTTTTGTATTAAAAACACTTTTCTTTTATTGGTTGGATGAAATATGCTAATTTACTGAGATAGGAATTTTGGGTTTTCATGAGCTGTATGCCAAAATCATCAATATTAGAAACAATAAAAGGCTTGAACTACTTCAGTTGTGTGTAATGAATCTAATATATATGAAAGTCTAATGTTTATGAGTACATTACAGACAATAATGAACTTTATCACAATTACTACCCTGAAAGGTACAGAGGAGGATTAGGGCCACTGAAAAAAAAAGAAAAGAAAAGAAAAGAAAGAGAATTCTTTCTTTAATCTGAGAATTCTGACTATTTTTCTCAGGATTATAAAAGTGACAATGTATAGTTTTTGTCATTCATTTCTGGAAATATCCATCGAAATGTTGTAGTAAATGACTTAAAAGATGCCCAGCTGTTGAAAAATATTGGCGGTTTCATAACATATAACTATAAAAATCTGGTCTAAAATACGTTGAGCGGGTCTAAGTCTCTGGGCGACGCCAAATTGGATGCCCTGTTTCCTTCTACGGAAGTATGTGAGGACAAAATGTATTTACTGATTTGTAACAAAGGGTTACAAAACTTTCACCTTTAATAAACATTTTTACTTTACACATTTAAATCTTCACTCATTGCCAATGATGAAAGGGAATCTGATGATCATATTTTGCTGGAGGTTGCACTCCCAGGGATTTTTGACCTCAATGACCCTCCGTTGGTCAGGTCATATTTGAACACAAAAATAATGCTTGCTTGCTGTGATGAGGTATGTACTTCTCCCATCACCAGGGAAAATACACACTGCCACTTTAAAGTCAGAATTCTGAGTTAAAAGTCAGAATTTTCTTTATTTTTTCTTTTCAGTGGCCCTAATCTTCTTCCAGAGTACGAATATTTTTGTGTTGGCTTTTTCACCTAAAACTTTTTTTGTACCTGTGTTTTACATAACAAACATTTTCAGATAATAAAATGTAGAATAAAAACGCTGAGAGATTTTTGTGGCAGGTAAAAGAGATCAACCCTATAACGTAAAAACGGAGACTCCCCATTTCAACATTTCCAAGATCTCTCCCTCCTCAGCAGGATTAGGACTTTCTTAGAAATTTTGCCTTTACTTGTCTTTTGCTGTCTGGTTTGATACTCTGTTGCATCTCATTTAGACCTCTGATGTCCTGCATTTGGGTCCATTTCTCTTCGTCAACACTCTTCCCACAACAAAGAATATTTTAATTAATAAGTTTATGGTCTATGAATCAACCAAATGCTTAAACAAAGCTGACTTTTTTATGTATTTTCATGTTATGGTAGAGGTTAGTATAACATAATGATTCCGTTAAATAAATGAAAAGAACTTTCTGTTAATAAATTAATAAAATAGCAGCTCATGTCTGTGAAATGCTTCAGTCATCTGTGTTTTTTAGCTGTTCGGTCTTTTTTGTGTGCGAGAAGATGTGAAAGTTTGTTTCATGTGCTAATCACAGTTTTCAGAGATGAATGACACCTTCAGACAGTTTCTGCTTATCTTTTCAGAAAAAGCTTCCTCTTACAACACTCGCACAATGTCTGGTGGAGGGGGCCGTCGTTCTCGGCGACGAGACTCTTCTGGGGTGAGCACACGCGTGATCGGATTTTTATGCAAAACTCCACAAACCTCCTAGGTTGTTCATGTTTTGCTGAGGGGTGAATTCCTGTTACGTTGCAGCAAGATGCTGAAGCTATGTGGAGAGACGCAGGACAAACTGGCTCAGGAGCTGATCTTGTTTGAGCTCACGACAGAGAAGGATGTGATTGAACCTTTGTCTGACCTGGCAGAGGTAAAGAAACCGGACCTGTGTGATTGCAGGGTTTTTATTAAACTCATTGCTGAGCTAACAGAGTCAGCGGTAGAGTTGTTTTTCTGTTGACCAGTTAGAGGTGAGATGTCCAAACATCAGGAAATAAGACTCCAAATCCTGCCATCTGAAGCTCTTCTCTGATCTTCTAATCTTCTAGGGCCCAATCCCAATACACGCACAGTGCCCTATGGTCTTCTGTGAAGTACACTTGGAGGAAGTGCACATTACCGTAATTTCCGGACTATAAAGCACACCTCAATATAAGCCGCACCTACTAAGTTTAAAAAAAAAAAAACATGGAACTGTACTTATATACTCCGCACCGGGCTGAAAGCCGCAGATATCTACCGGATATCTACTGAATTGAAAACATAGTTTCACTGAACGTAACTGAACTGATCAGTATCAAACAAAACAGAAAAGTTATTGATTAGTTTATTCATTGTCCTCCTGCGCACTGAAACCACTGAAGTCATCTTCTTCAGTGTCGGAGTTGAACGGCCTCAGAAGAGCTTCGTCACACACCTTTTCTGTGGCGATGTCAGTGTTGTTAGGGATTATTTTTCTGATTGAGATGTGATGTTTGTGTTTGTTACATTTCTTTGAGCATTTCATCTTAGTTTCTGTTTATTGGGATCACTGACATGAAACTGCGTTTTCTGAGCACTGCATCCGAGACTTATTTCATTTATTAATGATCTGTTTTCATACAAACACAGAGTTGGATTTCACTCCAACAAGGGTTGCTGACTATACCGAGCCTGTTTCTCACCTTTTTTCACACCAAAAACCCAACCTGAGTAAAACTATATTCTGTTCTTTGCAGGTGGAAATCCCAAATATCCAGAAACAAAGGAAACATTTAGCAAAACTGGTCCTGGACATGGACTCTGCACGCACAAGGTGAGCGCTTTTCTGTGTGTGACTTTATTGTGAGGGACAGATGTGTGGTTGGGATGTGTGAAACTCCATCTCCTGTGAGTGAAGCGTTTCTGAATGTCACCAGGATTTGATTGCACACCATGAAGCTGCTGTGAAGTTAAAACTTCTATCGCTGCGTGCTGCTGTCAGTGTGTGGAAAGCTCACACACACTCATGTCTGGCTAGTTTAAAGAGGAAGTCACTCTTTGGTATAACCTTTCACACTCAGTTTGTAGTGAAACATGCAGTTAAAGTTGTTCCTGACAGCTTCATGGGGTTAGCGCCCCTCGGATGTCTGATTCTTGTTGTCCCCTGCTGTCATAGCAGAAGACATTAACAGGTAGATCATTTGCAAGCAAACTTTTCTTTATTAAGGCAAACATACAAGGCACTTTTTAGGCCTACAGATCCTTTTCTACAAAAAAACGTAGTTTTGCTGTTTCCTATAAAATATTGGTGTCACGTTAAGGGGATGGTCAGGACCCAAAAATGCAGATACCCAGGATGACACGAGGCAGGAGTTGATATGTAAAGTAAAAATCCTTTTATTGTAGGGAGAACAAAAATAAATCCAAATGGCAGCGAGCCAAAAATCCAGAAGGAACAAAAACTCACCTAGAGCACAAACTGGAACGAGGCACAAAGCTCACACAGAGCATCAGAACACGCTGACATACAAACAACAATGGACCGACAAGACACTGAGACAAGACAGGGCTTAAATTCACTGGGGCATAATGGGAGGATGATGAGCTGCAGGTGTGAAGGGAGAGAACCAGGTGAAAGTGATAACTAATCAGGGAGGAGGAGCAGGAGAGGACACTAGACCTAACTGAGAAGGACACACACACACACACACACACACACACACACACACACACACACACACACACACACACACACACACACACACACACACACACACACACCTAGCTCGAGGAGGACAGATAAACACACACACACACACACACACACACACACACACACACACACACACACACACACACACACCTAGCTGGAGGAGGACAGACAAACACACACACACACACACACACCTAGCTGGAGGAGGACATAAACACACACACACACACACACACACACACACACACACACACACACACACACACACACACACACACACACACACACACTGAGCTGGGGACAAGAGACTGGTGCTGACCTGGGAGGAATGATTAAAAAGGGTAACAACATAAGACACTTAACTGAGATGCAGACAAAAGACACATGAGGGCGCTATGAGACACAGAAGGGAATCTAGAGAGGGATGGAGAAACATCAGGAGACACATGAAGGAAGACACAGACGCAAACACAGACCATGACAATTTGATGTTTATCATATTTTTGATTTTGGCCCACATCACAAATTTTGGACACCAGAGATTCATATGTACTTTAAAATAAAAGTATGGGAGAAATTCAAGCAAAAACAAAGGAAATGTATGGGACTTTAAAAGGTGATAAGGGGAAATAGAACCAAATTTGGTATAAAAATGTTGTTATTCAAAACCCCTTATATCATGCTTAAGTTTATTTATTTGGCAGACACTTTTATCCAAAGCGACTTACAATTTATAACCTATAGGGTATGTTGTGATCTGTGGGGGAAACCGGAGTACCCGGAGGAAACCCACGCATGCATGGGGAGAACACGCAACTCCACGCAGAAAGGTCGCAGCCGAGTTTTGAACCTGCAACCTTTGTGCTGCGAGGCAACAGTGCTAACAACTGGGCCACCATGCAGCCAATATCATAAGCAACATATCCAACATTTGCATTTTATGACATGTCTACACAGAGAACAGATATTTAGAATTGGTGGTCTGTAGAAAGATTTAAAACACATTTTGAAAATCACCTTCTATCTATGTCTCTTCCATTGAGCGTCTTCAGAAGTACGAAGCATTGTGGCTAGATTTCTCGCAACCTACTCCAGACGCTGTCACATTACTCCCATTCTTGCCCATTTACACTGGTTACCTGTTCAGAACCATATTCAGTTCAAGGTCTTAACTTTCATTTATAAAGCCTTGAGTGGTCCAACTCCCTCATATCTCTCTGAACTGCTCAAACCTTATGTCCCTCAGATCTCTGCGATCAGCAGATCAGAATCAGGTGTAAAACTGCCTCATCAACTGTGCTGGCAGGTTGAATTTCTTCAGCTGCCTTAGGAAGTCCATCCTCTGCTGGGCCTTTTATGACAGAGGTTATGGTGGGCTCCCACTTGAGGTCCTGCGTGATGGTGGTGCCCAGGAAGCGAAATGAGTCCACCATCATGATGGGAGTGTCAGACAGGGTAATGGGGGATAGTGGGGCTGTGTGCTTCCTAAAGTCCACAACAACCTCCGCTGTCTTCTTGGTGTTTAGCCTCATGTTGTTGTGGCTGCACCATGACACCAGCCATTTGACCTCCATTCTGCAGGCTGACTCATCCCCATCAGAGATGAGTCCGATGACGATGGTGTCGTCTGCAAACTTGAAAAGCTTGACAGACTTGCTGTTGGAGGTGCAGCTGTTGGTGTACAGGGAGAAGAGCAGAGGGGAGAGAGCACAACCCTAAGGGTTTGCAGGTCAGAGAAATTCTTCCCCAGCCTGATATGTTGCTTCCTGTCCATCAGGAAGTCAGTGATCTACCTGCAAATTGGGTCAGGCATGTTCATCCGGGACAGTTTGACTTGGAGGAGGTCTGGGAGGACTGTGTTGAAGGCAGAGCTACATGAACAGGATCCTAGCATAGGTACCGGGGAGTCCAGATACTGCAGGATGAAGTGTAGAGCCATGTTGATTGCATCATCTACACACCTGTTGGCTCTACAGGCAAACTGCAGGGGGTCCAGGAGGGGGGCTGTGAGGGTCTTGAGGTGGGGGAGAACCAGGTGCTCAAATTACTTCATGACCACAGATGTCACAGCCATAGGTCTGTAGTCATTGAGTCCAGTGATCCTTGGTTTCTTGGGGACAGGGACTATGGTGGACATCTGAAGCAGGCGGGCACATGAGATGCCTCTAGCGAGGAGTTGAAAATGCCCGTAAACACTGGGGCCAGCTCTTCAGCACAGTGCTTTAGAGTGGCAGGAGACACGCTATCAGGGCCCGGGGCTTTTTGTGTGTTTTAGAGTCTTGAATTGCTTCCTCACATCTGCCTCCCGAGTGTGTAGGGTTGTGGTGGAGGTGTGTGATGTGAGGACCTTCTGGGTGAGGGATGAGGAGGAGGGTGCTGAGGGTAAATTCCACGGTGAGGGTGATGGCTCTGGAGTGGGGGGGTAGGTAACCAATGTCTTGGGTCATCATCAAACCGACAATAGAAGTTGTTTAAACTGTTGGCCAAGAGCAGATTATCAGTGAGGCGGGGGTTCTGGATTTCTAGTTCGTTATGTTTCTTAAGCTTTTCCAGACAGAGGTCGGGTCGTATTAGGAGATTTGCTGCTGAATTTTGTCATGATGCTGGTGCTTAGCTTTGGCCAATTGTGAGCCTGTACTTAGCGTCTCTGTAGAAGTCCTTGTCCTCACTTTTTAAAGCTTCTCTTTTCTAACCACAGCTGTTTGAGTTAACTCACTCTGGTGCGTGATGGTATAGATCACCTATTCTTGTACATCTTGAAGATGCATTGCAAATCTCGTGGGGAGCGGGCCTCCCCATTCGCTGCCCCTAAACTCTGGGTTACATTCCTCCTCCATGTAGGTCTCATCACTAGATTGGTTTAAGTCGGTGCTGAAAGGCTATTTTTTTATCACTTAGCTTTTGATCAGTGACCTTGTTTTACTATCTTTTAGATTTGCTGCCATTTTTGTTTTTTTCTATGTTGCTTCCCTGCTCAAAATTTTTTAACCTTTTTATTTAATGGTGTTTTATGTTTATTCTTAGTTTTAGTCATTCCACCATTGTTGTGATTCATTTGACACGATTCTTTTTCATTTTTTGGCTGTTGAATTTCTGTCTTTTACTATGGAGTTTCCCTGTTCCTACAGCAATTTGGTCTGCTGTTATACTGTTATTAAATGTGCTTTATAAATGAATATGGTACGGTAAACTTTTCCCTGATATTAGAGCTTCTCAGCTTGTAGCAGCTTGAGCGGGAGATAGGTGGGCGTAGCCAACTCCAGCTGTTTTCTTAAAGTGACGGAGTCCTGAAACTACTCATTGTAGAAGGTTCTGAAGCTGTCAAGAATAACAGTGAAATAAATCACTTCATGTGAGAGGGGTTTAGTACAGAGAACTTCATTAAGATGCTTTTTGTCAACTATTATAACTAAGACCATAAATCACAATATGCCCCTTTATCTGCTGTAGTTTTTTATGAACTCAGATTAGGGAGTTTAGCTCTTTGATTGATGAGCTAACAGCTAATAAAAAAGATAGGATTACTATATTAGAATGACTCCAGTCTCTATAATAACTGTATTTATGAATGCTGTTATGATGCCTTTACTGTGTTAAATCTTAGATTACACTGATTAAGACACAAGATTATATACACAAATTAATTAGCATGAGAAATTAGCAACAGAGCATATAAACAGTGGCATTTCCACCACAGCGTATGATTAAATACCATTAATGCTATTAATTCGTTTGCATAGCTAATGTCTGGATTTGAGAAAAACACTGTGATGCTTTCTACTCATCTGTGTTTACCTGCTTCATGATAAAAACAAGCCCGCTATGAGGCCTTGGCCAGCAGAATGTTTATAAGTGTTGTCGCTGGTTGGAAAGAAGTGAGGGCTTCTCAGAAATACATAACAAACAGTTTATTAAGTATTTTGCATATTTAGTCATTTGTGATTTTAAGTATAAGTTTTGTGTTGTTTGATGAGTTAGAAACTGTTTTCTGATCAGTTTCCATCTGCTGAGTTGCTGTCGCATCACTAGTAAATATAATAGGATGTTCTTTTCCTCGTTACAGTCCAGTCTGTCAGTTTTTAGTGACCCAAATACGAAGCAATTTTTTCCATCATGCTGCTGTGATCTGAAGTCCTCTGGCAGCGTTTCATATTATCTGCAGTCAGTCTGACAGAAAGAGGAAAGAGAAGAGACAGTGAGCTAAATTTAGAGGAAAATACTGTTTATGGCGAATTAGTAGCAGAGACTTTTAGTTTTGTGTTGATCTGTATGTTTTTGTAAGAATCCGTCTGACTGGTCGAATCTGTTGGCAGGATTAAAGTTTAGAAAAAGATGCGGCAAGCTTTTGTGACGAAGTTTTGTAAATGAAAAAAGGCATACAGAAAAAAGAAAGAAACGGTTTTCCTTCACAGATTTTACCAGTCCTCTAAATCCTCGGGAATGTCGAGTACCCTGCAGCCAACCGGAGCCAAGGCCGACCACCTCAGGGAGGAGATGGAGGAGGCAGCCAACCGCATGGAGATCTGTCGGGTCAGTCCCCGTGACACTACGGTCCTGAGTGTCAGAGAAAGTTCTGGGATTTATCCCTGAAGGATGAATGCAAAAGGATAAAGAAAGACAGAGAAATATTAGTTGTTTTTGCCCCAAATGTTTTCAGTCCATTTATCTGTTTTTGAAAATGGAAGAGTTAACCCTTTGATGCATGAATTATGAAATCTTCAACCATGATGTTTTAACAAATTTTTTCATTCATCTTTAGGTGTGAATGAAACAAATTTCAACAAATATTTTTTGTAAAATTTTATAATTTACAAATAATTTATTACATGTCCACCTCAGTGGACACCGTGCATTCTGAGCATGAAATATGTTGGCTTGGCTTACTGAAGTCCAAATGGAGGGGCTCAAATGCAATAAAGTCTTCAACAGCTGTGCTTAATAGCAAAAACAAATAAATAACAATTTTGAGTACCTGTCCACTGTAGTGACCATTATGCATCAAAGGGTTAAAGTTCACTAAATGTTTTTCCTGTTTTTTAGGACAGGTGACCGTATTTGTGCACCTGGATCTGAGAACATGTAATAATGAATAACAGGAAGAAATGGAAAATTTTGCCTTAAAGAAAGAAAAAAATAATTTCATATGAAACTTTATTTTCTAGGGTTTCATCAACGGCCCTTTAAAGGCTTAAACGAAACATTTTTGGGTATTTCCTGGTGATTTTTTTTTTTTTTTTTTTTTGCTTATCAATGTGAGATAAGGTGATTTTCACATTGAGTAAACAATAAGATGTAAGGAGCAGTTTGGTCCATTCTCAAGATACAAAAAGTAAACTCTAAACAAAATGAAAGAATAAAAATAATTTCCAGCTGTCACAAACATTTATTGAGGTTCTTGTTTAACGCTATGTCTTCTTACATACCTAACCCTAACCAGGATCAATTATCAGCTGACATGTACAGTTTTGTGGCCAAAGAAATCGACTATGCAAGCTACTTCCAGACAGTAAGTGCAGCACCTTTACCAACTGTGTTATAACTGAAGACACACTGCTGACCTGTTGGTGTCCCTCTGTCTCTGTCTCCGTCCAGCTAATAGAGGCCCAGGCGGAGTACCACAGGAAGTCACTAGAGCTGCTTCAGAGTGTTTTACCTCTGATCAAAGCTCATCAGGGTGAGTCTGACTGCCCCTGCCTCTCTAACCTCTCTGGTAGACTCTCCTGTAGATATAAGAGAGAACAATGATATAGTACTACTGTAGTAACCCAGTGAGATTCTAGTTCGCAGTGCAACAAAAAACTTTTGTTCTCAGACTTTAAAGCAAAAGTCTTTCCAGTAAGTTTGAATAAAAACGTATTAAGAGAATCAGGTATGGAAAGTGACTGTTGCTATTTAAGTGTTCCACTTAGTGGACAGTCCCTTACATTGATGATACATTTAACTGCACAGACACGCCATCATTTTAACCCATTTTAATTAACACTAGCTCCATTTTTTACATCTGGAGGGAGAAACAGTAAGATTTTCAAAATGCTGATCAGCAGTATTCTTCTAAGAACAGGAGGTGAATAAATCCAGAGTTTCTAGTTTCTGACTGTTGGTGACTCCCTTACATTCGTGTGTGTGCGTGCGTGTGTGTGTGTGTGTGTGTGTGTGTGTGTGCGTGCGTGCGTGTGTGTGTGTGTGTGTGTGCATGCTTAACAGAGAGCTGGGTGGAGAAACCCTGTTACGGGAAACCATTAGAGGAGCACTTAGCGCTTAGTGAGAGAGATATAGCCTTCCCCATCGAGGCCTGTGTCACCATGCTGCTGGAGTGTGGCATGCAGGAGGAGGTAAACACACACAGCTGCTTTATCATAACACGCAGACTCAGGAAGCATGTTTACAGAAATGATGCTGAGTGTTAAGTCAGTCTTAATTACTCCGTTAGAGCCGTTAATTATTGTTTGATGGTAATAGTATTCTGACTTAGTGATTAGCGGTGGAAAGCACCTGATCTGCACAGCATCTGCCTGCACCTGTAGACCTACATATTTCAGCTGACTGACTACAGGTTTTATTTACGTGGAGGTGTTCTGTGGCATCCTGGGAACTTTTTCTAGATGGAGGCAGAACAGTAGCATGTTCTGTGATTTATTTGGGGGCAAATGTTTCTAGATTCTTCATTCAAAATTTTAATATTTCAAAACAGTAGATTTAGTTATCTGCCGCTGCCAAAAGGTGAACGGAGGGAGAGAATGTTTTTGCCTGCAGCTGTTTAGATGTGTGACCTAAGATGACCTTAGTGTAAAACTCTGGTGTGGAAGGTGGTGTATAATCAGTGCATTTCTACAAAAAATAAGAGGATTTAGATTATTTTTTCTTTTACACGAGTGAAAGTCGTGTTTATGGGAATCTGAACTCTGCTTTTGGTTTTGTGTTCCAGGGTTTGTTCAGAATCGCTCCTTCGGCCTCCAAACTGAAGAAGCTGAAGGCGTCTTTGGACTGCGGGGTGTTGGATGTTCAAGAGTTTTCTGTAGACCCACACGCCATCGCAGGTGAGCGATCCACTTCCTGCAGTTTCCGTTACCACGACAACTAGTAACCATTAAGACATGCTTTGCATCAGCGGGTTCATGCGTTGGAGTTTATTTTCTATAACTGTGTTTCCTGATCTCACATGGAGAGAGGCGATATTCATTTGCTGCACTAAAACAAAACACCTTGTGCTGCTTTCCTCTCTGATGCACATTTAGGTTTTTCTTCTGCTATTATCTGTTGGTGGTATATTAGAATTCAAACATTGCTGTGAAATTCGTCTGAAACAGAAATGAGTTCAAATCAAAATGTTTTTTGCCTCTCTGCTGTTGTACAGCCAATTAAATGAAAACATCTGGAGATTAACTCCAAATATAACCGAGTAATGTCACAGAGAGTTCTCATTTTCTGAGGAGGCTGCAGCAAAAATAATCTGTTATTTTTTCTGTGGCTGTCACATACTCGCTTTGAAATCAGAACCGTGATGGACCACAGAAGAAAGAAAAGCTTTCAGGCTTTTAAGGTGCTGTTATTGATCTTTTTTATGACAGCGTTCCTCTTTGCTGCAGCTGACTGCTGCAGTGTTGCTGTCAGAAGAAAACGTGTGTTTGAAATAGCACAAGCTAGGAGACATATATTCTATGTTAAATCAATATTTTTCAATTGAACTGTCAACATGTTTTAGTTTGTAAGAAGCAACATTTCAGTGCAGAAACTGGAAATTATAGAAATTTTCATCTAAAAAGACTTATTTATCTCCAAAATGAGAGGAGAGGCAGACGCACACGCACAGTTATCTATATTTTTTCTTTTTATTTAGATGTTTGTTTCAGTAATAATCATGCTTCCTTTCTGCAAGGTGCTATAAACGAACCATTAAAATGCAATTTAACTATTTTATTATTTTTGGACTAATCATGACTAAATTTCCTTTCCCAACCTTCTCAGTGGCCTAGTGGTAGAGTGTCCACCCTGAGACTAGGAGATTGGTGTTCAAATCCTGGTCGGGTCGTACCAAAGACTTTAAAGATCGGACCCAGTGCCACCCTGCTTGACACTTAGCTTTAAGGGGTTTGATTGGGGGGTTAAATCACCAAATAGTTCCTGAGCACAGCCACTACTGCAGCTCACCACTCCCCACAGGGATGGGTCAAATGGGGAGATAAATTTCACCACTGTGTAATGACTAATGGGACTTTAATTTTCCTTTATTATTCCAGTAATTACCACTTAAAGGACCTGTATTATGCTGTTTTACACCTTCCAGAGCAAAGATAGGCACAACATATGATAAAATGTTACAGTTGGTGCTATTGAAATGTCATTTATAATAAAATATGTTATTTTTGTGAGCCATTACCTCAACCTGGTAATAAGACGATAGGATTTGATCAAACCCCACCTCCCCTGTGGGAATTGCATGATAGTACACAGGTGCAGACCGCAGATTCGTCCGTCATGTCCCATTCAGTGATTGCCGAGTACAACTTACCAACTCCAACTTACCGTGGTGTTCTTCTTGTGTTTACAGTTTGTGGAACATGTGTGCTCATGTTTCACACCTTTCCTGCTATTTCTGGGGCAGCACCACATACACATACATAGTCACTACAGTATTTTTGGTTGTTTTTTTATACAACGTATTTTAGGAACAAAAAGCCTGAAGTCCGTTGTGACTTCATTCAAAACAATTCTCATTTAAAAATAAAAATGAAGTCAGTTCAGATGTAGTTTATGGTTGTCTCGTTTTTGCGACCAGAGGAACCTCGGCGGTACGTTCTATAACAACAGAACTATTTCTGAGCAGCACCGACAGTAAACATCGTGGCTGAATTTAGACACAGCTGAGCAGACATGTAGGCAATCTCTGCGGCCTACCGGTGAGGAATGTCCTTCTGTTTGTCATCAATTCTGTGTCCCTCTGGGACATAAAAACAGCAGACCAGAAGAAAAAAAAACATAGGCAAGTTGGGCAGGAGCCCAGTGAGGCATCGCCTTATTTGTCAGCGAAAAAAAGTGAGTGTTAGGGAACTGCTCTTTTTTATGTTTTAATAGATTAACAGGTGTTGACCGTAGGTTTCATCTCTGACAGGACAAATTCTAGTCATTTTCTTGCAGGACAAAATGTTTCTTTAGATATTTGCGTTTTTAATCAGCTGCACTTCTGCTGATAAGCCCAGTGAAGGCAGGACTTTGGTAAATTATTTGCTACAAAGGGACTCAAATCAGTGTGAACAAATGAAATCAATCACTGGAGTTGTAGACAGAATAAATCAAGTTGGAAGGAGGACATAAACCCCTTAATTCAGGGACAGAAAATCCCAGCTGATGCTCATGATCTGTAAATATAATCTTGATTTGTTTTCTTTTATTTTTTGTAATGTGGTTGTTTTCTCTCAACAGAACAGTTGTTTCATGAAAATAAATTGAAAAAAGGGTAACAGAAAACCTGCAGGCTCTTATGTTTAGAGGATTTACGTAGCTAACAGACTATTGCAGATGCACGGAGAGGACAGTAATTAACATTATTCTATCAGGCAGTCATTAGCTGCATTTTTAGTTAAAGGTTCACCTTGATTACGCTACAAATAAATGCTCCGTATTTCAAACACAGTTCAGAATCTGAGAAAACATAATGAAGCATGAATGTAACGTCAGGGCTGCCTAAGTTCCTGAGGTGTATTCTACAGTTCCTCCTGCTGCTGCAACCCAACAGGGAGGCTTTTCAAGGCCGTTCATAACCAGTGACGGCCAGATTTTCATTTTTCCCTCATTTAAAAATTCTTTTATATTTACAAATTCCAAAGCGAGGGAATAAAGGAGTGCCGGCCGTACCAATGAACTCATCACACAAGGACAGTGTTCTGTTGCTGTTGTTGGTTTTAATGGGACTGCTACTTGCAATAGGGGCCATGGGGCGTCTATGAAGATCTGAATACTGTCATGGTGCCAGATTTCACAGAGAAAAGATGGCCTCTCGTGACGTTTGTCAGATGTCCGGTGTGGTGTAGAGTTTGAATGCAGTAATCCTTTGGACTTTTGGGCAGAGGTCAACGGGGTCAGCTATGCTGCAAGGAGTCCAAGAGCCCACACACACACGCACGCACACACGCACGAACACACACACATTAACAGAAATATATGCATGCAATTTTTTTCTTATTGCTGTTTTCCATCCAGGTGCTTTAAAGTCGTATCTGCGTGAGTTACCTGAGCCATTAATGACCTTTGAACTCTACAACAACTGGATTCAAGCCTCCAAGTGTGTAACTTCACTCTCCTCATGTTTAAAGCATGTATTTACCTTCTACCCGCTGTCTGATGAACACCTTTTCTGTCCTGCAGCCTCCAGGATCAGGAGAAGAGACTTCAGGCACTGATGGGAGCCTGTGAGAAGTTACCTCCAGCCAACAACAAAAACTTTAAGTGAGTTTAATGTTTCACGTCTTCTGCTCCTAAGATGAATAAATGATGCAGTTACACATCTGGTCAACTCAACAAACCAGCAGCCACATTTTCCATTTTATAAACTTCATTTGGTGACAGTTAATAAGATAAATGTTAAGTAGGTCCTCTTAGGTGTGGACATTTCATGTTTAGCCTGTAGTTTCAGTCCAGTGTTAGGCCAAGTTTACTGAGAAACTGTATTTTTATATTATTTTTTAAACATCACTCTGAAGTTGACATGTAGGTTGAATGTGAAAATTGTCTTCTGTTTCTCCTGCCTTAGTCACTGATAGAAAATAGACAGAGACACGATCGGATTAGAAGTCAGTCAGATATACGGCACACTGAAAATGAGCATTCATGGACTCATCCACCTTAGCTACCAACAGAGACGGCTGTTCTTTTAGCAGGAAACTGCAGAGCATGTCTTGGCTAGCAGAAGTGAACCATTAGCATTAGCAAACCCACCACACAGCAGAATTCCTCCAGGCTTGTGTTATTTCTGGAGAAAAAACATCAACATTGCAGAGCAAACAGATTGAGCGGTAGAGTCATGTTGCTGCTAGCCAATCAGAGGCGAGATGTCCAAATATCAGGAAACAAGACTCCATATCCTGTTGTAACGTCCAGCAATGGTCAGTTTTTAGGTACTGTTTGACCATTCAACATCTGGTCAAAAAGGGAGACATGAGACTGCATGTGTTCCCTTTAAATCAGCCTGCCTTCATCCCACCAGCTGGAGCTCAGAGCCTGCAGCTCTGACAGAGATAACGAAACCATAACATTGACATCCTGTTCTTTCCAAGGTCCCTCACAGAGCACCCCTTTTGTCTAAGTCTCCATGCTCACTGAAGAAAGAAGAAAAAAGATTTTAAAATCATTAAATAAACGTTTGTTTATTGCTACTTATAATAATTATAAAATAATGAGGTGTTTCATAAATCTGTGCTCAATGATATATGTTTCAGCATGTTTACTTGACAAGGTCATAACCACATTGCACTCACACAAGAACAAAGTAAGGTAAAGTTAAAGTCCATGACACATAAATAGCCTTTTACCCAGATCAGAGCATCCGGTATCGAAGAAGGCGTTTCTGAGATTCTTGGTAATGTCCCTCAAACTTGTCAACCTCTGGTTGGCTACACAATCATAACATGAGAACATTAAAACCAGATCATTCTGGTGATTCTTCAGTTCTAGAGAAGCTTCAGGCTGGCCACCTGAAGCAAACACCTCTTTAACCCACCAAAGCTTTTGACACGTCGTCAAAACCTTTTTGCACCTGCGAAGCTGACACAGCAAACAGTTCCTGCAGAACAAGCTGATCTGTTCAACTCCTTAAGAGTTATTCCTGAGACGCAAACTAATTCCAACTGTCGTTACCTGGAGATGACCTGGTCGTACTGCAAGTTAATCTACAGACTTCGGTACCTGGGGTTTCCGACCCCCCAAACATCTCGGATCCGCAAAGGGCATCCCCACTTGCGTACGTAGAACACAGTGAGATTGCGTCTGGATGTGGTTTCTGATAACAATCAACTTCATAGCTTAACACAAACCAAATTCTTTTACATCCAGAACTCGCCTCTCCTAGATACAGAAGTTCTGACCAACATCGCATTCACACATGGGGTCCATACATCACAACTAGTTCCATCCATCACAGTAAATGCTTAGTTAAATTGTCATGATTTAATTGTTTGAAAATAAATTCTTACTTTATAAACCTGACTGTTTTCTGAATCAAAACCAAGTGTGTACAGTCCCCTAATAAATAAAGAATCCTACGATCTTCTGGTTAGAGCACAATAAAGACCAGGCAGGGTGATATTCTATATTTAGATAGAGTATCCCAGCTTATTTGTCATAAGTAGAGGTAATATCTATTGAGCTCTTAAAGCACTCAATTTACCAAACCCTACACTGTCGTGTTCTGCTCCCCACTTCTCTCGTTCATTCCTGATTCCAGAAAAAGGAGCGCCAGAGCTCTTTTCCCACAGAGATCACATTTATAGTAGAAACCACTGCTAATGAGTTAAAAAACACAACTTCTTTAAGGTCTTGTCTGTTCTATCTGATTTGTATAAATAATTAGATGTATTCTCTTTTATGAACAATCTGTTGAAAGAAAATCAATTAAAGTAGAATCATTTTATGTATTAACAGGTATTTGATTAAGTTCTTGTCCAAACTGACTGAATACCAGGACGTGAACAAGATGACTCCAGGAAACATCGCCATCGTCCTCGGACCCAACCTGTTGTGGACTCACAACGAGGGGTGAGATAATAGAGATACGTGTGGGAATGTTTGTGAGTTTATTAATTGTTAAATCCTCAAAATCAACATGGAGAAAGTCAAACAGGATCTAAAGGATTTTAATACAGCAGTTCATTAGTCAGTAGCTGACATCTCTGTCACCAAGTTGTCGTTTGTATACGCAGAGAATGAGTTTTATGTGATTTATTTCAAAAATCCCTTCAGAAAAAATTGAACTTTATTCAAGTCAAACTGGGTCAACACCTATGGTGCTACTTAAGTTATGGGCTGCATGGTAGCGCAGTTGTTAGCACTGTTGCCTTGCCGCAAGAAGGTTACAGGTTCAAACCCCAGCTGTGTTTCATTTTCTCCCCATGCATGCACCTCTGAAAGGACGGATACTGAAATGTTATGATGATCAAAAAAACTGCTTGAGTGGAAAATGAGTCCTATATTCCAAGTAACGCAAACCTGCATATCGATCAGGACTCGTTTAGCTCCCAATACAAACACTTGGTTGAAATCACAAGTGTCCAATCCTGGTTTCACACAGGTATCTAACTGGCTTCTGCAGAGCTTGATGACCTGCTGAAAAGGCACCTAAACAACTGAATCAGGTGTGTTAGAACAGGAAAACATTAAAAACATGCTGGAAGGGGTGAGGACCAGGACCAGGGTTAGACACTCCTATGATAGTGGCCAAAGTGACACACACGTAAAGTGTTGGGACGAGGAAGTCATTAGAATTCCAGACTAATCGTTTGTTTTTCTACATATTTGTCTTGAAAATGCAAGAAAAATGTAATAAATATGAGTAGGGCTTATTATAAAAAAAATTAAAAGAAAACAGTACTGGAAAAATGAATGAAAAAACTCAAAAAACAGGCATAAGAACAAAATATTTCTTCTAAATACATGAAACTAAAGAAAACTTTGATAACAATAAAGTTCAAACAAACTTATCTTCCAAAGAAAATGTAATTTTTATAGTTTAATCAAGTTGTGACTGATTTTATCTGATAGATAATGTCAGAACAAGGTCCTGTAACATAAGAGTCTGAGAAAAACAAATCTGTTGACTTAAAGTTAGACACATAATAAGCAACATATTCAATAAAAAAAGTCAAGCTGGTTTTTGTATTGGCGTTTTGAATCAGCACCAATGTTTGTCGAAATCACACATATTGTTCATAATGTGCATGAATATTTAGAAACATGACTCATCTTTTTTGTGTCTTTCCTACAAATTTTCACAAGTACTGCATTTAAAAAAATAAGTTTGATGTTTAATTCATATTTTTTTACTTGTATAAACTGAAGCATTCAGATAAACCAGAGACTACTTTCTTTTCTTCATTTTCTTCAATTCATAGCATAAAAAAGTCCTGCAGAGTCGAGGCTTTGGCGCAGCTCCAGGAAACGGTTCTCATAGAGCGGAGTATTTATCAGGATGATGACGAAGCAGACTGAGAGGATGAAGGACACCTCCATTATACAAACTCTTCTTAACTCCATAACTTTTAATTAGTATTTTAACAACCCACTTATCCAAAATGATTTTAATTTTCTCTCCTTAATGCTTCCTTGATATCATAAAAATTGTTAATCATGCTCTGAATGTAAAACTGTTGTAATCGAGTTTCCCTACATTAAAATGTCGTTTCTGTCTGTCTGCTGCAGGAACATCACAGAGATGATGACCACAGTTTCCCTGCAGATTGTTGGCATCATCGAGCCCATCATCCAGCACGCTGACTGGTTCTTCCCAGGAGGTGACAAGAGACGAAACAGCAAACAACCTTAAGATTTATACAGTTTTTAATTCACTACAAATTCAGAGCTGATAGATTCAAATGTTAAACAATCTGATTTGCTTTAGAAATTGAGTTCAACATCACGGGAAACTATGGCAGCCCTGTCCACACCAACCACAATGCCAACTACAGCTCCATGCCTTCTCCAGATATGGATCACTTGGATCGAAGGCAGAACGACCAGAGCCGGCGGCCCCTGAGCGTCGCCACAGACAACATGATGCTAGAGTTCTACAAAAAAGATGGGTACGAGTCTTCTTTTTTACATTTTTAAGGAATGTAGGAACTGGAACAGACATAAGTCAGAGTTGTTGATCATTAACCTGCTGCAAATGCAGGAAAGGAAAATTAATATTGACCCATTAAACAAATAATTCAGTTTCCTTGGCCACTGTCCTAAAAGTGATTTCAAATGTGATGAAGTCATTTTGAATGCAGTGAGTAAAACAAAACCAACACACGCAAGAATCTGAGGTGTTATTAGCACATTTCATAGATTAGACCTTTGAATCATCCTCATCATCATGCAACACATTCTCACACCCTAAGCGTCGGAAATAAACGCTTGGTCAGCCACCCTCCACGTCAGACCCCAAACGCCCAAAGTGCACTTTTTCGTTGCTTATGTGCGAAAAGGGGTTTTTCCCTTTTGTAACTGCAGATCCCAATGCAGCGTAAAACTGACGTGATGAGATATCCGCTGATGCGGCACAGAACCAGCTCATTTAACCGCACCTAAACCTTAACGTTTCACTATTTATAACCTTCCCCTCACCCTCATCCTAACCTTAACCCTCATTTAACCGATGCGGCACCGAACCAGCTCGTTTAACCGCACCTAAACCTTAACGTTTCACTATTTATAACCTTCCCCTCACCCTCATCCTAACCTTAACCCTCATTTAACCGATGCGGCACCGAACCAGCTCGTTTAACCGCACCTAAACCTTAACGTTTCACTATTTATAACCTTCCCCTCTCCCTCATCCTAACCTTAACCCTCTTGCTACCTAAAACGTTACTCTCACTGTGATCAAGCGTTTGTTTCCCGTGCATTCTGACTCTGACAGTCAGAGTCTGACTGTCAATTTTCGTATTTGTCGCCCAAGGAGAACGTTAGAACATACCATCTGGCGAGGGGGAGGTTACAAATACCCTCTACTTTTAACCTCCACCGTGGCAGTTGAAACCTCCCCCTCGCGTTGGCTCGGTCCAAACTCGACCAATGACGAGGCGGCTCCCGCCGTTCACTTCATAGAGCCGGCTTTTAGAGCGATCGACACATCACTAACGTGTTCGCTAGCAAGATGGTTAAGGTTAGGATAGGGGTGAGGGGAAGGTTAAATAAGAGGATAAGGTTAAGGTGAGGTACAATGAGCTTGTTTGGTGCCCTGGCTGCGGACATCCCATCGCGTCAGTGTAACGCTGCATTGGGATCTGCAGTCAAATAAGGGAAAAACCCCTTTCCGCACATAAGTAATGAAAAAGGGCACTTTTGGCGTCAGGGGTCTGACGTGGAGGGTGGCTGACCAAGCGTTTGTTTTTGACGCACTGGGAGTGAGAATGTGTTGCATCATCGGAGTCCCACTGCTAGTGAGATTATTGTGATCCCACTTACACAAACACCAACCAGACCAATGCTTGATTTAAACACATTAAACACCTTTAGTTGCAAAGTTTTAATTTGTTCATAATGTATGTTTTTTCACATTTTTGTCCCACTTAAAATATTAGATTCAGATTTTTTTTCTCCAATCAGTTTCGGACCGTACTGGTCCCTGCCTCCTCTCCGTCGGTCCCTCTGTCCCTCTCGGCCCTCCCTCCGGGTCCCCCTCCTCCAGCCCTGCTCTATGTTCCTGTGGGCGTCTGGAATCCGCCCTTTTGGCGGGGGGGGGGGGGGGTGTACTGTCACACCCTGTCCTGTCACCCCATTTTGTTCAGTCCTGTGTCCATGTTAATTGCTCCCACCTGCGTATTTAAACCCTGTTAGTCCATTTTGTCTGGTTGGTTCATTGTTTCATTGTCCTGAGTGTCCTCCATTAAATCAGTGTTTTAAATGTTCCTGTCTGCCTCCCTGCCTGTTTCTTCCCCTGCACTTGGATCCTCACCTCCGTCTCACTCACCGGCACGTTGTGACGATATGCACAAGCAATCAAAACAGACTTAAAACAATCTTTAAGTAATCGGAAGTTGGCACATTCATCAGAAAATATGGGTTGCGAAGTATTATTGAAGGTGTAGAAGGTAATGAGCTTTAGTGATTTTGCAGCTCATTCCAGTTGATGGAAGCAGCAAACTGGAATGAGGAGCGGCCAAAGGAGGTGCGAGCTTTGGCAGTAACCATAGAGATTAAGTTATTGGAACGTAAATTGTGTTGGTTGTTGGAAGTGATGACTAATGATTAATGAGCAAAGATATGCTGGGGTGCTACTGATGATCGTTTTCTATATGAGCTGATACCAATGTAACAACCTGCAGGAATGGAGTGATGGCCAGGTAATGAGTGAGTACCGATCACAATGATGAGTAGTGAAAGGGGCACTGGTGAGGAAACGGATTGCTGAGTGATAAATGGCATCGTGTTTATGAAGAAGTTTAGTGGTCTCCACCCAGTGGGAAACAATTTTTACCTTACTGCTATTTAACAAACACAACCAGTCGGTCAGAAAATAAATAGTCTCTCTTTTTACTCCAACATTCTGTCTCATTCATGTCAGAAGTAAACTGACCAGAAAACCACAAACATGAAAATGTGATCTTACGACCAGTTCTGTAAAGTGACCTCAGTGAAACAGCTGCTGACACACCTGATCACCTGCCCTCAGCTCAAACCTTCATCCCAGTGAGACGTCTGGAAGTGAAAAAAGAAAGACAGAGGGAGCCGACATTCAGTGTGTGAAATAAGTGATCCCACAGTCCTCCAGCTGTGGAGAAGGATTAGCGAGAAACCAGTCAGTCGCTTACTTTCTCTTCATCCTCTTTCTCTAATGCGTTCGTACATTCGTGGTCTTTTCAAACCCAGCGGGGAGGTTGAGCTCTGCAGGCCAGGGACCACCAGGAGCTAATTAAATCTGGACTGAGCGGGTTTGATCAATGAAGCTCAGCTTTCAGCAGAGAAACACTCATCGGAACCAGACTGAGGCTTTGAAAGACGTGATGTGAGGCAGTCACCATCAGATTAATGGAAAAGTTTACTGTTGAAAAGGTTTAAGATTTAGGGATTATAGTTTTAACAAATATTATCAGAGGTCCTAAATGTGAAATAAAAAATTCCTTTAGAGTGTAGTTTTAAATTAATTCATACAGCGTGAGAGTAGAACGCATCAATACTAACCTGCTCCACATCCATCTGTGAGCAGCATTGTGGCTAAAAGCAGCTTCACCCTGTCTGGTTCTGACCCGGGGTTCTACCAGCTGACTACTTAAGGATCTCAGAGCCCTGCTGGTCGTATATACCTGGAGATCCAACATGTATTCTGATCCCATGCCATTGAGTGATTTATAAACTAGTAGAAGTACTTTGAAATTGATTCAGTAGTTTACTGGTAACCAGTGTAGAGATTTAAGAACAGGAGTGGTGTGCTCGGTTCTCTTGGTTCTTCTTAAGACTCCAGCAGCAGCATTCTGAATGAGCTGCAGCTGCTTCACAGCTTTTTGGGGAAGACCAGTTAAAAGACCAATGCAATAGTCCAGCCTGCTGGAGATGAACGCATGAATGAGTTTCTCTAGGTCCTGTCTGGACATGAGACCGCTGAGTCTTGCTATTTGATGAAGATGATAAAAAGCTGATCTAGTTATAACCTTAATGTGACCAGTGAAGCTCAGGTCTGAATTTATTATAACGCAAAGGTTTCTAACCTGAGTCTTTGTTTCTAATTATTTAGCTAACATTTAATCTGATATAAATATTGCACTATTGCATGAGATCTATAACAACATGTGACTAAACGCCGTCATTTTTCCAGACGAGAAGATTTTATTTAAAGCTCTGACATGAAAATTATTCAGACAAAACCCTAGAAAATAGAACACATCTGTGTACATGTAAATACTTTAGTGTTGCATGCTGGTATTGTTGACTGAAAACTTAATGCTGCACATTAAAATTAAATCTTGCAGCCACTGCTGAGAAGCCAACATAATAAAGACCAACAGCCGCTGCAGGAAACCTTTTATTTTGGAGGAATTATGTCATATCCATCAGGGAAATGTTGACCTAATTAAAGCAAAATGGAGCAGTCATTTTCTCTCCGGGTTTGATGTTACTGAGACTCTCTATGAAAGGACAGATATGACTTCTCCCTTTCATTCAGCATTACCCAAGCCTCCTGATGTATCCAGCTCGCCCCTTTGCTGCTGCTTCTCTATCTATTCTCCTAAAAGTTTGTTTCATGTCTCTTTGATGAAGACAAAGCTAACAAGCCACAAACCTGCCCTCTTGACCATCGCTCCTGTCCTCACTTCTCTTGTCTTTGTTTTAACAATGCAGCATAAGGAAGATACAAAGGTACAGTATGTTTTCTGTTACTCCTCTTATCATTTCATCAGTTTGGTCATTGTGTTTGGCTCAGCTGCCCGTCATCTGTTGTGTACTCATTGTTCCACCTGGGCGTGTCTAAACTGACAGATTTGGCTCTGATAGTTTAGCGTCTCAGCCGAGTGGGAGGAGACGTGAACAAGCAGGCCTTTTAATCCTTGTTTACACTGAGATGCATCAGTCGTTTCTGTTCCTGGGAAGACTTGTTCAGCCTGTGAAGGAGGACAAAAACCTGTTACCTGGTTACTTCTTTTGTAGCATAACAGCAAACATTGAAGTGATGTCAAATAAGCAAAAGAACTGCTGGAACACAACAGTTACATTTCTAAAAACCACTCAGAATAGGGAGCCTAAGTCACTTCCGCACCATAGGTCCCCAGAAGAACGAAAAAATTAATGCAAGTCAACGGGACTAAAAACGTTATTTTCTAATCTGCTTTGCCTTACGCCCTGGATCACACAAATGTTGTACTGCAATTTAAATGAAAAGTAATGATGGGTGTTTCAACCATACCAGTCACGTACTTTGAGATTTAGCAGCTTGTAAAAGTTTGTAATTAGCATGACTACAAACTAGAAATCAGCATGTAGCTGCTACTTACCAACTGACCAGATTTATGGTGGTTCTTTCCTCTTGTGGAAAGTTTGCAGAACTTATGGCCCTTTTCCCTCAGTTTTCTCTGTGTCTGGTTCGATTACGTCACTTTTGTGGCATGTTGGGATCATTTGTGGAAAGTTACTTTCACTTGTTACTTTCACTTGTTGCATTAATTAAAAGCAGACAGTGGCGGTTTTACCATTAGGCATAGGTCGGTGGCCACCTGGGGCCCCCTAGTGTTGGGGGGGGGGGGGGGGGGGGCCCTAGCCCTGACCGCCGGCACCCCTCTGTTAATGCCACAATATTCTCATTACCAACCTGTCGCCGCAGATGGGATTGGACATGCACACTTATCATTACCGTAATTCCTGAACCGTTCAAAATATCGTTGAAATTCCAAAAGTGCTGAAAAGATTAAAAATGGGGCTTTTCGTGCCTTTACAATACATTACAGACGCCACCGGGATTCCCTGTCTTGAGCGCAAGGAATCACAACACAGATTCAGAGACGTGCTGAGTGTGTCATCCAAAATGCTCCGTTTTATAACTTTTGAATGGCTGATCAGATTCAACAAATTCCAACGGTTCCCAAAAGTACATAAAAGCAGCTTTCCAACGACCTGTGTAGCATGAAGCAATCAGAGTTATGGAAAATATCGCAACGAGGGGAAATCCTGCTGTACAGCCTGATTGAAACGGAGCGCAGCGCCGTGGTGAAAGTGGATAAGAACGGGGAAGCTAATTAGCATAAAAAGCCGGCATGAAATTATGGAAATGCCTCAAAGAAAATCAACACATTGATTAGATGTCCCAGAAGGCTTATATCTGAAGACAGTGACCACGAAGAAGGACAGATCTCCAGTGAACCAGGGTATGAATGTTTGTTCAGTCTTTATTTTTTTATTTTATTTGAACAACCCTCAACTATTTGCCAATTGTAAGATTCAGCTTCATTCTAGCATTGTTTATCTTTTTACAATAAATAATTATTTTTGCTAAAACAAAAGTTTTTGGTATAACAGTGCATGGTGTGCAAGAGAAGCACCCCATGGCAGTGAGGTGTGCAGGACTCTGCCTGCAGCTGGAGGGAAACTGCTTCAAGGCCTACCACATCAAATAAAAACATCTGAAAGTTTACAAAAATAAATGGTCTTAAAAACTGCTAAAAATAAACCGAGGTTCAAACTTTTTAAAGAATAGATGCAATACAGTTCAAAGTTTAAATTGTTCATTCCAAATTGTTTGCCCAGTAAATATGAAGTTCCTGTTCAGTAATAAATGTAAAAAATTCAAATCCGTTTTTTGCTTTTTTCACTTTTAAGCTGATTTTTCAAAGGCTTTAATAGAAACCAATTCTAAATACAAACCATACACTGAAAGCTGAGGTTGTTCTGAAAGAAGGAGAAGAGTTACACACACTTTGCACTTTTTATTACAATTTTACAGCCATAAGATAAAAAATACCAGGCTGCCCTGTTATAATTATGGTCATAAGAGGGTTATTAAGACAGCGATGCACAAACAAGAAGTGACTGGTAGTCATTCCACTCCAATCCAGTTGGTGGCAGTAATGCACCATATTGTTGTTTGCCAAGTGCCATAAGACCACAAATAATTGTAAGAAGAGAGGCGGGAGCGTTTGTAACAAACTCAAAGCGATAGTCAAAACATTAAGCATGAAATGGAGTTATCCTAGTGGCTCCAATAAGAGAAAGAAGCAGCATGCTTCATAAAAGCTTTTATTTTCACTTCTGAAAGTAACATTGTTTTTCGATGTAAACATCAAAAGGAAGCAGAAAGGAAAGACAATGGAAATTGTTTAAAGGGAGGAAAACATGGACCAAAATGGAAAATAGAAAAAAAATAACTAAGGCTAAAGCACAGGAGCACTGACAGGAAAAAGAAAGCAGAGCAAATATAGAAAGTGCTCATAGGGAGGGAAATACAGGAAAAAAGAGGAGGACTAATAAAAAGGGAAAATAATTCATGTCAGAGGAGGGGAGAGTTTTGCAAATCCAGTTAAAGGTAAGATTGTCGAAAATTTAGTGTAAGGGGGCCATGTCTGTGTTCGCCTTGGGCCCCCAAATTGCTAAATCCGCCTCTGAACGCAGATGTGGATACACTGTGACCTAGTGGCAGAATTCTGTCACTGCACTGGTAACACAGTCACCATGCATTGTGGGTACTGTAGTTTATAGTTAATGCTGGCTTTGATTCGACATAGACCTATTTTAAGACACTAGAAGCTCTCGCGGGCCACATAAAAGGATGTGGCGGGCCAGATGTGACCCACGGGCCTCTTGTCTGACACATGTGATCTCAGGAACCCTTTGCAATTGTTCTGGATTCATTAGCAGATTAGAGTGTGACACTTTAAAGGTACAATGTGTAGTTTTTATTTTTAGTCTCTAGAAATATCCATCAAAATATTGTTGAAAATGAACTAAATGTTTCCCAGCTGTTGAAAACTGTTGGTGGCTTCTCAACATATAACCATAAAAATCAAGTCTAAAGTACATAGGAGCGGGTCTAGAGTTAATAAACGTTTTTTTACACATTTACCTCTTCACTAGTTGTCAGTGATGAAAGGGAGGCTGATGTGCTTGCTTTTTTGTAGAAGTTTGCACTCTCTGGGGCTTTTTGGCTCTAATGGGCATCCTTTTAAGGTCTTAAGCCTGATTCATGCTTCTGCGTCTGCGTCAGTGCGGAGAAACCCCACGCCATTATCCGTACTTGCGGGCCTGCTGGAGAGCCCCGCAAGGACAGATGGAGTCGAGCTCTCTTTTCTAAACATCTGTCCGTCGAGACAGAGAACGCAAGCTTGTGATTGGTCAGGGCACCGCTGTCGTCTACACCACCGCCATTGTGCCCTCCAAAACATAAAGAGAGCCGAGAATAACTAGCGGCAGACACTGAGAAACTTGAACAATATCTTGCGAAAAAAACTCTAAAAATATGAACGTTTAATTCCCCTGTGACTGGAGGGGTGAAAAGATGTGCAGCAAGCGTTTTATTTGTGGACGGAAATGATGGGAAACATGAGTTTAGAGGGGGCGAGCCCATGAAGAGGTGGAGGAGAATGAGAGACAAATTTGTCCATGTTAAAAAGTCTCTTATATACAAAAACATAATATAAACACACTTTCTTGGACCGGACACATGACAGGATACCACAGAACAGCGCTACGCCCTCTCTTGTCCTGGCGGGGAATTGCTTTGCTTTCTTCTTTGTTCTGCCCCACGAGGTCTGCACTGTGGCTTTATAACCTTCTGGGTCACACCCACATGTTTTTCACTCATTAAACACTGGTCAACGGATAGCACTGTGGCTCTTTCAAATAAACTCTACCTTCTTAAAGATGGAAAGTCCATGATCACAATTTAACACAGTTATTCATATAAAGCCTCAAAGAGTATTACTTTAGCATCAAAGTATTACTTTAAACGGGAAATAATAAAATTCATGTTTTAAAACTGAACAGTTTTACCATTAGCATGAATTTTAACTGGAGAAGCAAAACTTGGCAGTGGTTTAGCATAAAAGAAAAAACACAAAACAAGCAGTTAGGTTTGTAACTGATAAGATTTTAACTTAGAGCACCTGATTTCTATTTTAAGGGTAAACAACCTAAACACCTTATTTTATTATAGATAAACAGAAAAATACCAGGGTTTTGATAAAGGCTAAATCCTGGAATCTTCCAGAATGACCCTTGAGAAGTTTTACGAGCACCCGGCCTTGGGGGAGAGTCAGTTATTGGCAGGTTGAGGTAAGACAGACCAAGTCCTGATAATGTCCGGCTTAACAAGTCACTTGGTAAAATTTTCGTTCCTGGTAGAAAATGTAGGAGTTAACCAGAATGCTCAAACTGCGGGCCAGTTTCAAATTCCTCTTTTTGTTTTCTTCTGCTAAATGTGAGAGGAAAAACTTTGTGAAAATAGTTATGTTCTTCTTTGTGGGAATGCAAACAAAGTTGACCTGAGGATATAAAATGTGGATTTCCGCTACAGTTGGGTTGTGAAGGAAGAACAGAGTTGTCAACAGTGTTATGGCTATAGATAAATTATATCAACAACACATTAGCTATAACAGTCAGGGATATGTTTATCCTGTTTGCCTGAAAATAAACCTGTCCTAAAGGCCAAATTCAAAAGCAGTGAGACTCCCATCTGGAAGACTTTCACTGCTTTTGGAGCTGGCCATTAAGACAATCGGCAATATTAGTTAAAAAAATATAATTTCCAATATTTGTGAAATGAATTTGTCTGACAAAAATGTCCCTGGACGGTCATGTCTGATGTGAGGATGGATGCACAACAACGGCACCATTTAAGCTAGAAATAAGTGTAGCCATAGCACTGTTGACAAACCTCCTGGCCTTCTCAATTTTAGCAGATTTTACACCTGCCCTCCAGCTACACCTTTGGGTGATGGATGACATGATGATCATCATATGAGGGTGTAGAAGGTGAAGTTGGTGCAGGTCCTCCTTCATCATGTTGACCAGCTTCACACTGCTGACCACCCCCCATGTCATTGCCGCAACAGTGGATGAGAAGGACATCAGGAGCTGCTCTTCCTCGCAGGGAGTGGAAAAAGAAGGGAAGGAGGTCTTTCCACCTCAGTCCGCCACAACTGAACCAGGAGACACAGACGTCAGGGAGGCCAAGGTTGTCTCCGAGGGTCTCTGCAGCTCTCTGGGCACTACGCCTCACGTAGCTGTCTCCAATGATCAGAATGGCTATGGAGAAAAAAATAACAGGTTTGGCCTAACTGTTTAAAGTACAAAACCATACATGAAGTGGTCAAGACAGGTACTTGGTACTTACACTTGCTGCTTTGTGTAGCCGACGTTGAAGACACACAGGCTGCCATGGTGACCTTTTAACAGATCTAAGAAAAAAAATGTAATAAAAGAATGAAACTTAAAAACTCCCAGACCTCATTTCATGATTGCTAATCAGCTATGGCTGATTTATTGTTTGGATCACAGTGAGTTACACTAAATCTAATATGTTTTTTTTTCTATTATACATACATACCTTTTAATTATTATTTTCACATGACTGTTATCAGGCTCTCTTGTTCTGGTTCTCATGATAATTCTGTTTCTATCAGTAAGTTATCTTGTGCTTACTTCATCTGTATAATGTCTCTTTACTTTTGGTGAATTGTACTGAGTCCAGAAAAAAGGCTACTTGGCTTTACAAGATACAAACAAGTATTAAGTTTTAGAAATATATGAAATGTATTTAGCCTGCTAATTTATTTCAAATACTAATAACTACCGTATTTTCCGGACTATAAGTCACACTTTTTTTCATAGTCTGGCCAGTCCTGCGACTTATACTCCGGAGCGACTTATACACCAAATTATGTAGGCTATACCGTGCTGCTGCAGGCCGGGTCCGGTCTAGAAATGAGCTCCCCTGCCCTGCTGGGAATAAAAAACACACAGCCATCACCTGCTGGAGCTTGTGGCGCATCGTTACGCATCTGATCCGGCCCAGGAGTGAGCTCCCCTGACCCACAGGGAACTAAAAACACACAGTCATCACCTGCTGGAGACTGTGGCGCGCAGCTGCGGGCTGGATCCGACCCAGGTTTTAGCTCACCTGCCCCGCAGGGAATTAAAAACACACAGCCATAACCTGCCGGAGCCTTTTGCGCACCGTTGCGCACTGGATCCGGCCCAGGTTTCAGCTCCTCTGGCCCGCCATCACCTGCTGCAGCCTGTGGCGCGCTGCTGCGGGCCGGCTCCGACCCAGGAATGAGCTCCCCTGTCCCACTTGGAGGGTTTCAAACACCGCCATCCTCTGCTGGAGACCGTGGCGCGCTGCTGCACCCACGTTATTGTTACTGGTACTTGTCTTGCAATGTGAAATGCTTGGTCTCAGATTTTGTAAGAAAAATGATAAAATTTCCCCTCAAAATGTGACATACTGTAGTCCAGTGCGACTTACATATGTTTTTTTCTTCTTCATTATACATTTTATGGCTGGTGCGACTTATACTCCGGAGCGAATTTTAGTCCGGAAAATACTGTACGTTAAAAATATTGAAAACTTGCTCAGAGCAAAATATATTTTCATTAAGGAAATAACTGATAAACTTACCGATTTAATACTTTTTTGTTCACAGAAAGATAGTTTTCATGAAAAAGCGCTGCAAACCTCCACACAAACTCCCTGTGAGCTTCAGGTCGCTGGTGTTCCACGGGGTTAGCTCCAGTTGTAGCTACCTCCATTAGCTTAGCTCCCACCTCCGCATTAGCTTTGGGTTAGTTTCAGGTTGTAGCTAGTTCGACCGGGTGTCGTCATTTGATCCCAGCCTTACAGCCCCACCCTCAGCTCCACCTCTCTTCCCTTTTGTGGACTTGCCTGGGCTTGACGGAACCTGTGACACGGTCAAAATAGCAGTGGTGGCCACCTCCCATTTTCCCTCAAAAACGTGTTATTGGAGCCTATGGAAACCCATTGTCTATATATATATATATATATATATATATATATATATATATATATATATATATATATATATATATATATGTCGATGACACACACTCCTGATCTAACCCTTGTCATTAGCCCTCTGATCTTGTTGGGGTGTTGTGGCAACCTCCACCCACCTCCCCTCCCCCCGAGCCAAACACCTGCCCTCCTCTGATTTGAATGGCTGTGCATCTGTGTCCCACTGCAGCATGGGTGTGAGGGTGATGGACACTTCTTGGGTGTCACGCAGGGGCTCGTCGTCTACTCGTAAAACCTGCTCGGTGCTCCCCCCAACCCCACCCGCTGACGCTCTCATCCCTGAGCAGCCTGGGGATTTCGATTCCTCCCCCTGCCCCACACCTCCTCCCACTAGCAGTGACAGAGCCAGGTAAGGCTGTTGTGCCCTGCCCTCCTGTTTCAACCCCTGACTCCACCCCCCACTGCCGCCTCACCACCTGCTGCTGCTGATGCTCCCTCGTCACCATAAATGCTGTTGCGCCCTGCAGCTGACACCAGAACCATGCAGCCTTTTTTAATTTGCCCCCAAGTTACCTGATCTGTTATTTTTTACCTTTTTATTTCTGTAATAACACCATGCCTCGCTTTGGATTGAATGTTTTTGTTTTACGTGCGATTTGGTGGAGTAGCTTATCTGCAGTAAAATCTGTGATCTCAGTTTAGAAAAGAGTGTGAACATAATCTCTACTGAGAAATGAGGCCAAGGCCTTTATCTTATATTAAAAATAAACACTTGTGGTTGTGTGTTGATGCAAGGCCTGAAGATAATGATCATCTGTGGTAAATCATTGTGATATTTTAACCCTACAAAAACAACTAGACTATTTGAGCATGAGGTAGAGGAAAACTTTTAATCAGAGACAAAAGATGCAGTTACCATAGAAACTAAAATGCTGTCTAGTCATAAAACAGGGACAAGTCACACAGACGTATCATGAAAAGTGACATTTTCACTTGAACACCTAGGAGAGTTTGAGTTGTTTTAGACAGTGGAAATTTTCAGTGGCTATTTTCTGCTCTGATTAGGCGTTAGTTTGTCTCCAACAAGAACAAAAAAATCTTCCTGACTCTTCTTGCTGAGATCACTCTGATTGCTGTCTGGTGCAGGTAAGATGCTGATTGATCACGACTACTCCACATAACCTCACCTTACTAAGCCAGACCTATTATTTTTAAACATATTTAAAAGTGTGTGGTTGCTCATTATCCCCCCCCCCCCCCCCATTTTCAGATACATCTGCCTGTGATACTGTACATTATGTGAAAAATGTGGGGAAATTTGATCAAATTTTAGCCTGAATTCAGTCAAAAATAACCGTACGCATGAATTATTTTTCACCTTTGTTTTTCCATCAATCCAAGCTTTATTAATAACATCCTTGTCCATTCTCACAAGGCCCTGAAATGGATGAGATGGTAGTTTGTTTTATTTTTTCACCCCCTAGAAAACCTGAATAGTATTCTGCAGATTTCCTTCCCGTTGCTGGACCAAACACCAACTCACAGATCGATGCGTCAAACTTTTCTTTCCCTCCTGATTCTAATGACTTCATCCAGTTTAACAACCAAGTTTCCTATTAAACACCATTTTTTATTATTGCAGCTCAGATGATACATCCTCCAATTGGTCGGACTCCTGTTACGTCTACCCCTCCCCAGAGGAGGAGAGGCCGCCCCCTCCTTACCCCTCTTCCTCTTCCTCCTCTTCCTCCTCTTCTTGTTCTTCCAACTCGTTCCCTCACCACCACTTTTACACCCGAGCACTTCAGAGTATGCGCCCCGTTGCTCCCACTCCTGAATCCGTGCCCCCTGGGCCATCTCCCCCACCCCGCCTATCTGGCTGCAGCCCTCCCCCATTTCCTCACTCCCCCTGCCCGTCCCCCTACCTGTTTGATGTCAACTCCAACCCCAAACCCAACTGCCTGTACCTGCCCAAACGAGCCTCCCTGCCCGATGCCACGCATGTGACCCAGTCCGATTCAAATGGCACCAATCTTTACATCAAACCCCCACTTGTTCTCACCCGTCATGATCTGTTCCTTGGCTCTGCCAAGCCTCCCAACGCCCCCCTTTCTGCTCCCCCTCCATGGGCCGCCTGTGCCTGTAACCATGAGAGAGGAGCCAAGATGAAGAGGTAAACTCGCTCATACTTCCAACACAACTCACAAGTTATAAGAGGGCACTTCATCCCCCCAAAGCTTCAGACAATTTTCCCATGAAAGTCAATCCTCAGAATTTATTATCACATCCAGTTTTAACCTAATTACCACATCTGGAAATTCCATAACATCCCAAGATGTCAGGATATTCATGAAGTGGCTGCAAAGGAAACATAAAGCTTCCATCAAATAAGATCATATAAGTGGGTGTTTATGAATCATAACAGTTGAAGTCCTGCGAGTTCAAACCTCCAGTAGGAACAGAAGCAGAACAACATGGAATCATCAGTTTGTTAAGCTACCAACCTGTTTGTAATGGCAGGAAATCCCAAAGATGCTCATGCTCCACCCCAGCTTTTAATCCCAGCTGCTGCAGCCATCCGTGCATTGTTCATCTGCTAAAAGTGAAAGCTTATTGATGTGCATCTGAGGATGGACTGTCAGAGCATAAACTGGTTATATTGTGACCTTCAGACCCTCAGCACATTGGCATTCTGCCTGCACTCGGCTGTAGGAGTAAGAGAAATCCATTAAACCACCAGGATTTATTTGAGATTCCTGAACTGGCTGTGCAGCAGTGGTCACTTGGACTGTTTGGCATTGAACCATCAGACCTTTCTTGCTTTTATTATGTTTAAAGATTACTGGAAGGAGGACTGGTACACGAAGAGTGGGTGATGTAATGTGTGTGTTTCTGTTCTCCTTTAGCACTCTGAAGAACAAAGAGCTGTCTCCAGTGATCGGACAGAAGGGACTCCAAGCATCCATGACATCTAGTGGACCACCACAGCACTCTGAGCACAGTCCACACAGCCTGAGGAGAGGTAACACGCCTGCAGACTCACCTTAACAGCTGCAGCAAACTAGCCTGGCAATCCTATCTGTGAATAACTATAGTAGTCTGGCCACGGCCTGTTGACGGCTTTCGGTTGTGGGGTTTGATCTACGGTTTTCTTTTAAACTGTCTCTGTATCCTAATGGATAACAAAAAACTTGACACACTCACCGCTATTTGTCAGTCTGCCATACTCCGTCAAAGAAGCAAATGCATCTTTTTTCTGAATTAACTTCAGTATCTCTATCTGCTCTTGACTCAAAGAAAAGCCAAAGTCAAAATAGTCCAAAGGTGCTGCCGTAGCCATTTAAAAAAAGCCATCGCCATCTTTGATTTGTCAGTAACATCCCAGTAAAAGAGTGCTGTGATTGGCCCACTACAAAGCGGTCACCATCTTAGTTTTGCTCCGTTGCAGTAACATCCCGCCCACCTGGCTGATAGAGTGCAGTGATTGGCCAGCCACAATACTGACCGGGGCTGCGGAGGTTCCAGTGGAGCATTGCTAGACCAACATTCAGAACAAATGACAGTCTAGAAATTAGGCTAGCAGCAAACACCTTTTGCCTCCATTAGCACCTCATGATTTTGAGAGATGCTATTTAAAAAAAGTTCTCTTCTTCTCCTTCTTCTTTTTCTTCATTGCATACATTAAACACTTGATTTCAGTCGACTTATTTCATGTCTATTGTGACTTTCCAGAGTAGAGTAAACACAGTTGTATCTGCTGAATTCTGGTTCTATAAAAGGCCCAATTCAAACACGTTCTTCTAAATGGAATTCAGCCCTCAGTAATACACCTGGGTTTTAGGAAGTTTGTTGTTTAAATAGGTGTTGTAAGTGCACTAAAAACTGATTTCATTTTTAAATCTGCATTATAACAAGCTAAGAACTTAAGTCTCATTTACACCGGAGGTGGAACAGACGCAGATCGGAATCTGTGCTGGCTGCAGTGTGGTGTGGATCTGGATGAAGAGCTGCCCAAAGTTTTCCATATGGGTGCCATTTTCCTGGACGTTGCATGAGGATCGTCAAGAAGTCAAAGAGGTTAATTGAGCAGACAGGAAGTGAGATGTGTGCCAGTGAGGTGCATCTGATTTACTTAAAAATAAAACCTGTGTTGCATCATTCCGTCCGGCTCCTTTTGTTACTAATGACAAGGATATCAGTTCACAGTATGATAGTACGAGTACCAGTTCCTCTCTCCATGGGGTTATCGTGGGAAGTAGCATGACCTCAAGAGCAATGTTGACACACACACACAATTCTCTGCCAGTGTAAATGGCAGTCCTTCTGGAAGCCACATGGGTTCCAGTCTGCATCTATTCTGCACTGGGTGTAAATGAGACTTCACTTAACAGTTTTTGAGGATCAGTAGTTCAAAAGTATGGATCATTGAACAGATTATTAGTAAAAACAGCAACAAAACAGTCTTTTCACTCTGATGTGGACAAAAGGTAAGAATTTCATAACAAGCTTGATGAAGGATGAGAGCTTTTAACAAGCATGACAAAGACACAAGGAACTTGGGGCAGCAGTAGCTCAGGAGGTAGAGCGGGTTGTCCAGTAATCGGAAGGTTGCACGTTGCAGCCCGGCTCCAGATTGAGAATTCTGCAGTTGTGTTCTTGGGCAAGGTGTTTAACCGTCCTTCCCTGCTGGTGGTGGTTGGAGGGACCGGTGGCGTCTGTGCTCAGCAGCCTCGCCTCTGTCAGTGCGCCCCAGGGCAGCTGTGGCTAATCGTAGCTCATCACCATTAGTGTGTGAATGTGTGTGTGAATGGATGAATGATACACTGTAGTGTAAAGCGCTTTGGAGTCCTCTGACCCTGAAAGGTGCTATACAAGTGCGGATAATTTGTCATTTATCCTTTAACTCAATGCATTATGGGAAATTTAGGCACATCTTTTATAAACAGAATAGTCAGGGCTTACATTTACTCTTTCCTGAGAAAGATCAAATCTCTGGATAAAATAATTCCAGTGGATGACTCATCTCAGACTTCCATCCATGTTTTGTGCCTGTTGCTCCTTCACAAGGCCTAAACCCAGATTTATTGGTTGTTTTCTTTCCAGCAAAGAAACTGGCCCCAATCCCACCTAAAGGCCCGTATTGCCAGACTGGAGCCATGTCGGACCAATCGACAGGTCAGCCGTCTCCAGTCAGCTTGTCGCCCACCCCTCCCAGCACCCCCTCCCCTTATGGCTTCAGCTACCCACAGGGTTACGCCACCATTGGCTCCCCGAGTCAGATCCAGACAGCAACCACCCCCTCTCTGTCCTCTCCGCCCTCGCTGGCCGGCACTCTCACCAAACCCAGGCCAACCCCCAAACCGCCTCGGCAGAGGCCCAGCTTGCCTCCTCCACCTCAGCCCCCCAGCACACCCGGCACCAGTCCGCAGCCCTTGGAGGTCTCATCGAGTCTCCTGGATGGTTTGCCTCCTGGGGAGAGCATGTCCACAGGTAAAGCAGCTTTTGATAGATTTAAGATTCAGTTTCATGCTAGTTTTAGTTTAACGTGGCTGAAACATCTTATGAATTGTAATCTGTTCCAACCAGCAGCGTACTTTATATTCTAAGTTCTAACATAGATTAGGAACAGCTGCTGACTGGAGGTGAACACATTTAGATAATTACAAACAACTTGAAGCTTGGGTGCAGAATACTACATTTAAATATTTTTGAAGAAAAAAACATTTTTGGATTAAAAAAAAATCTGCATCCATAGTATTCTGTTTTTAAAAGTAAAAATATTCAAAAGATTCTTCAAGGACTTAAAAAAAGTTTCAGTTCTGCTTGTTTTAGAAAGATGCACTGCTCCAGTCTGACATCTAGTGATGGTTTATGGTAGAAAGTACGTATCAAGACAAAATAATATGTAAAAAAATGTCAGAACCACCTGTGCGTTTGAATATTACTGACCATATTTAATTTAGTAGTGTGTTTGCTAAGAGTAACTTTTGATTACAGCTGAATAAGTATTTACTTACCATGATTTAATCTGAAATGGTAAATGTCAGGCCTAGTACTTAGACAATAGCCAGTTGTTATCAAACTAAAAATTCCCTAATGAAGACATTTAATAATTACACTGGGGAGAAATGAAATCAAATGTGTTTTTTAAATGTTATTAAATATTTTAATTCACTTTAAATTTAATCTAATCAACTGGAGCTGAAGAGCATGTCCTCCTCTGGTGAAGTTTCTAATAAATAACATTAGTTACCTGGACCTGCCAGTTTCTGTGTAGTTTTTCAAAGTTAAGTGAGAATCCCTCCACGTGACTATCTTCTCTTGTACTGCTTCTGTTCACCTTCGTTGTTCTAAAACCTTTTAATCTGATTTTCCTTCTTGTCAAATGGCTCTGACTCTTTTCCTTCCAGCGGTATGAGGCGAGAGGGACTTTGGGGTAAGCAGGAGCTCCTGAGCTGAAGCCCCCTCCACTCCCCCCCCCCCCCCCCCCATCTCAGTCAGACATGCAGATGTGGGCCACTGCTCTGCAGCTGCACCACTCATGAGTTGCCATTGTGTTTATTTCAGCTGTACACACTCAGCAGCACCTTTAACATGCATGCAGGCTGAGAACGATGCATGGATTTAGGAGTCCTGCTCCTCCCCCTCTCCCAGTTTTCACAGCCCCATCAACCCTCCCGACTCACTGCACAGCTTCAACACACTTCCTGTTTGCTCCAGTTCTCCATCACGTGTTAAACTGAGGATGTCTTCAATCTTCTACATTTAAGAGAAGTTCTAAAGTTCATATAATTCAAATCAAACTGCCACCAGGATGTTAGATTATACATGTAATCACAATGGAGATGTTTTAACAGTGTTGTGATGACGCAGGTGTTTCAAATCTTCATTTAATTCTGGTCATAGATTGTTTTAATTATTGCACCACCAGTCATCTAGCTTCTACCAAAAGTTAGAATCTGAGGCTACAAATAAGTTATTTTAAAGCACAATGTCGCTAAAAAGACATTAGAGAGAGCAAATAGTCTTAATTTATTCAAACAAATGTTTGCTAATTGTTGATTTCAACTGCATCTAAAACAAGCTTGCATTTTGTCAAATGAAATCTTTGTTAAAAACTGCCAGAAACTGATAGAAGTACAAATGTGCTGCAAGACGAGTTTAGATTAGGCCCAATTCTCTAGTTTTTGAATTCAGGACCTGGGATGCAGTCAAATAATTTGCAATCCCTGTGATAACCCACGCTTCTCAGACTGCAGAGGAGTAAATGTTCAACATTTTGGTGGAAAAAAATTCTCACTCTAAAAAGAACGTGTTTGCTTTCCCATCATGCTTTTCTTTTATCCCCCCCAATAATTCATCCTCTAATCATTGTTTGGACCTCTGATAACCCTCATGTTATGTTTGCCATCAGCCAGCATCATTCAGGATGATCAGCTTCACATTCCATTTTTACCAATACTTTCCTTCTTCCTTGTCTTTCTTTTCAGATCTGCCAGATTCCCTTTGCAACTTGAACATCCCCATCATCAACGTGGAACTGGATGGTGTTTGGGACTTGACAAACATCTCCCACTTCAGGAACTCGGTGGCTCAGTTTGAGTCGAACAACAGTGGAGTGGACTCTGATGATGATTCTGAGAGCACAGTTCTATGACACCTGTTTAAACAACTCTTCTGCATCGCTACGGCCCCTCTGGATCTCCTCATCACATCTCAGCTGTCTCCGATCCAGAGGGGCCGACCAATAAAACAAGCGCCTAACAAGAAAATATGATGATCAGACAAACATGGGGTGACTTTTCATTACATTTACATCAGCTAGGATATTTAATTTTTAATGTTTCTTTTTATTTTTTGCCTTATGTGATTCACATGCAATATTGCCTTTAATGTCAAACACGGGACTGGAAACAGGCTGCCAGGGAGAATAAGAGTTCTTGCTGCTGAGTCCGAATGATCTTTAGAAGAACCAACACAGAAACTGTACGTCTGTTCTATCTAATTAATTTCTCACAGCTTTACTCCCATCATGAGTTCCTCCTTCACTCGTCAGGGGTGTCTGTTCGAAACGCCTCGCTCTGGTGTGTGGTGGCCCCCAATTTTCTGTCCAGCCTGAGCGTTCACTGTGAGTGTGCCAGTATGTCTTTTATGGGAAGTGTGTGTGTGTGTGTGTGTGTGTGTGTGTGTGTGTGTGTGTGTGTGTGTGTGTGTGTGTGTGTGTGTGTTTTGCTAGTGTGTGGTGTGATAATTAATGTGATAATTGTACTAAATGATGTTGCACTGTTGATGTTGTGGAGCAAAAAACCAGGATTGCTTTGTTTTAGACGTGTAGGATATTAGCTTAGAGGTGATAGTGGTTAAAGGGATATTTCTGGGCTGTTTTGAGGCATGTCTTGGTAAATGTTAGTAATAATTTCTATCCTACCTGTCTTAAATAGCTTCCTGAACGGCCTTTTTTCAGAGAAATAGAGTTTGTCATTCTGTGCTCAAGAGCTAATGGCTTGCTCCAGTCTGCAGTGTGTGTTGATGTAATGTAAACCTTTTAAACAGCCATGAGTTTCACATTGCAGTTACTTCTATGGTCATCACAAGGAGTTTACTAATCTGTCAGCTGAAATAACCTTGTAATGGTAAATTAATGAGAACGAGAATATCACGTGAACTGCCTTGAAACTTAAGGAGACTGGGCTTGTGTAAAGCAACACTAGCGAGTTTTAACACTTTGCTTTCAAACTTGTTCTGGCTTTGTTGCTACTAATAATATACTTTTATTTATATAATAATATGCTTTTAACTTCCGGCTTTATTTAGTATCAATTAGCTTGTGTTAGCATCAGCTCGTTTTAGCACTAGGTAAAGGGTTGTTTACGACAGTTATAATTCTGTTTTCAACCAGTAGGAAAGAGAAATGGGAAACTTATTAAAGCTACAACTTGGAGTAATTTTTATCCAACAGCAACATCTAGTGGCCAACAAATGTATCGCACCTTAAGAGGAATACTTCTGTATTCATGGCCGAAAGCAACGCCTCTCATTCATGAACGTGCACCTCTAACCAGCAAACAGAACTAAAACACTTTGTTTTACAATTACTATTTTCATGTTGTGTTGTTTTTATGTACACACACATACATACATACATACATACATACATACATACATACACACACACACACACACACACACACACACACACACACACACACACACACACACACACACACACACACACACACATATATATATATATATATATATATATATATATATATATATATATACATATATATATATATATAAACAACAGAACATGAAGCAGGTCCTCAAACGCTCTCGCACACTCTGTGATTGACAGCTATACATAAGAGGATGCGTGATGCTGTTGGCTAACGCTGAACGGTGCTCAATTCAAATTGCATGGGGCTCTACGGGACACGGGGCAGGCATAGCAAAAAAAGACGTATTGCCTTCATTATATAACAGTACATGATAAGAATATCACTTTTATGCAATTCTAAAAAAAGCATACATAATTCCTGAAAGGGGAAGAACACCGGGTTGCAGCGCTGTTGCTTTAAGACAGCAGCAGCACACTTTGGTCTTGCTGTTAGCTCATCCCTCTTGAGGTCTGTATTCTCTATTTCACTCAACAGAGGCTGTTCAGGTAGCTTTCTACAACATTTATAGCTATTACGCAGAAAGATGTTTAAAAATGGCTGAAAAGTCCCTTTAGAAGACCAAACACACTTTTCTATAAAACTACAGGTTCTTCTCAAAAAATAAGCATATTGTGATAAAGTTCATTATTGTCTAATGTACTGATACACATTAGACTTTCATATATATTAGATTAATTACACACAACTGAAGTAGTTCAAGCCTTTTATTGTTTCTAATATTGATGATTTTGGCATACAGCTCATGAAAACCCAAAATTCCTATCTCAAAAAATTAGCATATTTCATCCGACCAATAAAAGAAAAGTGTTTTTTATACAAAAAAAGTCAACCTTTAAATAATTTTGTTCAGTTATGCACTCAATACTTGGTCGGGAATCCTTTTGCAGAAATGACTGCTTCAATGCGGCGTGGCATGGAGGCAATCAGCCTGTGGCACTGCTGAGGTGTTATGGAGGCCCAGGATGCTTCGATAGCTGCCTTAAGCTCATCCAGAGTGTTGGGTCTTGTGTCTCTCAACTTTCTCTTCACAATATCCCACAGATTCTCTACGGGGTTCAGGTCAGGAGAGTTGACAGGCCAATTGAGCACAGTACTACCATGGTCAGTAAATCATTTACCAGTGGTTTTGGCATTGTGAGCAGGTGCCAGGTCGTGCTGAAAAATGAAATCTTCATCTCCATAAAGCTTTTCAGCAGATGGAAGCATGAAGTGCTCCAAAATCTCCTGATAGCTAGCTGCATTGACCCTGCCCTTGATAAAACACAGTGGACCAACACCAGCAGCTGACATGGCACCCCAGACCATCACTGACTGTGGGTACTTGACACTGGACTTCAGGCATTTTGGCATTTCCCTCTGCCCAGTCTTCCTCCAGACTCTGGCACCTTGATTTCCGAATGACATGCAAAATTTGCTTTCATCTGAAAAAAGTACTTTGGACCCCTGAGCAACAGTCCAGTGGTGCTTCTCTGTAGCCCAGGTCAGACGCTTCTGTTGCTGTTTCTGGTTGAAAAGTGACTTGACCTGGGGAATGTGGCACCTGTAGCCCATTTCCTGCACACGCCTGCACACATCTGTACACGGTGGCTCTGGATGTTTCTACTCCAAACTCAGTCCACTGCTTCCGCAGGTCCCCCAAGGTCTGGAATCGGTCCTTCTCCACAATCTTCCTCAGGGTCTGGTCACCTCTTCTTGTTGTGCCGCGTTTTCTGCCACACTTTTTCCTTCCCACATACTTCCCACTGAGGTGCCTTGATACGGCACTCTGGGAACAGCCTATTCGTTCAGAAATTTCTTTCTGTGCCTTACCCTCTTGCTTGAGGGTGTCAATGATGGCCTTCTGGACAGCAATCAGGTCGGCAGTCTTTCCCATGATTGCGGTTTTGAGGCTTTTAAAAACTCCCAGTTTTTAAAAGCCTCAGGAATCTTTTGCAGGTGTTTAGAGTTAATTAGTTGATTCAGATGATTAAGTGAATAGCTTGTTTAGAGAACCTTTTCATGATATGCTAATTTTTTGAGATAGGAATTTTGGGTTTTCATGAGCTGTATGCCAAAATCATCAATATTAGAAAAAATAAAAGGCTTGAACTACTTCAGTTGTGTGCAATGAATCTAATATATATGAAAGTCTAATGTTTATCAGTACATTACAGACAATAATTAACTTTATCACAATATGCAGATTTTTTTAGAAGGACCTGCACATTCAGTCAAGATATCAGCCACTGGATATTTATTCTTTATACTGTACTTTTTCCAACTAAATGATAAGGTTAGCAATATGAATCAAAGCAGATGATATTTTGTATCCAGATGAGAGTTATTTAGAGAAGACCTCTGTAGTTGATACCATCAGGAGATGAGACAACAGAGTTTATGGAAAATACAGCAGGTTGATAAACTCCAGATAAATCAGGATTATTTATCAGAAAGTAAAGCTGAGTGGAAGTTTTTATTTTCATTTTTAGATGATGTTTCAAGACTATGAAGTCCACAGAGCAACCTCATCTTGAATGAGATGAGATACATATGATACAAGCTTAAAGAAATCCTGGAAAAACAGTCCTGACATATCAGCTCTAACAGATTCTGCCAAGACTTGATACACCCCAGAAAAAAATGTGCTTTTTTTTCTCATAAATAAACACATTTTAATGACCATGCCATAACATTTTCAGCCATGTCACAGTTTTGTGGAAACTGCTGATGATGCAGATATTTCTGGTCTATATTAGTGATGCTGAGCCAAGTGCAGCTACATGTAAACATTAGATTATTTTAATGAGAGTATATATATCTATTTCTGAGTATGCTGTACTTGGTATAATGAATTGTGATTGTTTCTTCTGCACTTGGGTTCAGAGAAAGTATCCAGTATTTTCAGAAGTCACAGATTTAGAGGAAACTTGAAGATCAGCTCAGCTGAACTAACGAGGTTTAATGGCAGCAGTGTATCTGCCTTGTGGAGGGTTTCGCATGGACCTGTCCAAACCTGTGGGACCTTTTTATTTTTGTCCTGACAACATCCACTGTGCTGCTCTGACATCATCACTAACAGGACTTTTGTAAATCTTGAAGCCTCTGTACATATTTATTCTGTATATAATGACAGCGAGAAGAATCAAATATATATATATATATAAATAAATCCGTATACAAATCCTGAAACCTAAATGATGACAAACATACTGTACATATTAAATGTTGGTGGTTGTAGCACAGTTATTAAACTTTCAGACAAGCATCTGATAAACAACAGTAAACTCCACTCTAAATGTGGTTAGGAATATTTTTTTAAAGAAAACAGTTTATGTGTTGCAGACTTCTTGGCCTCTGATTTAGCCTCAATCCTGGTTTTAGCTTTATAGAAAATAATAATGCTTGTTCACTGCAGCTGATAGATGCTTCATGAAATTAATTTTCAAACATTTACCAGAAGATTTAGATAGCTGTTAATGCCTGAAAATGTTAGTTTAGATTAGGTCGGCTGACCTTTTGCTGCTGTGCACGCCGCGGATGCGATTCAAATCGCAGGGTGAACGAGCATTTGTCCATGCTGCCCCAATGCTATGGAACTCATTGCCCATTGGAGTTCGGCAGGCTCCATCTCTGGCGGTTTTTAAATCTCGTTTAAAGACCCACTTTTACGCTTTGGCTTTTAGACAGTGACTCGTTTTAGTGTTTTATTGTATCATTGTTTTAATGTGTTCTTAGTATTCATCATGTTTTATCTGCTTTTGACTGGGATTTTTATCCTCTGTTTTAGTTCTTTCGAATGGTTGTGTTTTGTTTTAGCCTGTGCAGCACTTTGGGCAGCTCCCATGCTGCATTTTAAATGTGCTATATAAATAAACTATGCTATGCTATTAATGCATTTTTAAAAACATGTAACTTTAGTTACTGAGTGTATGACCCAGCAGATTTTTTTAGGTTAAAGTAGAATCTGCATGAAAACGCAGTCTAGTTTTCTGTTGGGTGAGGGATTGTTTATCTCAGTTTCTTGACATGCCAGGGACTTAACCCTCTGGAGGCAGGCGTTGCAGATTTGTAACGTTAAAACCTACCTACCTGGTTACTCCACATATGTATTTCATGAGCATTTTTTATCTCAGAAGTACCCCTGAAGGACTCAGTTGTTCGTCCTTTTACCAAAACTTAATCTGAGCCTGAGAGGGTTAAACATCTGGCTGCTTGTGCGCCTGATGTTAGATATTTGATTGAAGGTGAATGCGCAACTTAGGAACTTTAAATATAATACAACAGAAGAAAATAATCAAAACCTACTAAATATTTTCTTCAAAAAGGTTTACATGAGAAATTGAAAACTGCTCAATGGCTTAAGGCTGTGTTAAAGTTCTTATTTGGTTTTCTATCATAAAATAAAAATAGATTCTCACAAAACTGAATTAAACAAGTGATGAGTTGCATGAAAAGGATTTAATCAATATTTATAGCAAAGTTCATACGACTGACATTTACTGGAGTCATTCAGATCCTTCAGCCAAGTTTGAATTATAACATGAATTTATCTTAGGAAGTAATTCTCCAGTTAGTCCGGGGTGGGGGGTGGAGGTAGTCCCATCTGGATCTTTACGTTCTGAACTAAACCGTTTCAGGTTGAGGCTTGTACATTAAACTATAGATCTCAGACAGTTTGTTGCTTTTGTGAGCATGTCCTCTGAGCACTGAAAGCCTTTTTCTACTCAAACAGGTGGAATGTAATGTTGATGTTCATCTCATAGGCTGTGATGGAGGTGCGTGTGTGTGTGCGTGCGTGCGTGTGTGTGTGTGTGTGTGCGTGCGTGCGTGCGTTACGGACATAGTTTCCTATGTTTGAAGCTGGAGGAGCACTTCATGACCAATTTTTGGGGGTTTGAATCAAGGTTGTGTGAAATGTAGCTGCATGTTTTTTCACCTCTCCTACAGAATATGTCTCATCAATGGTTCTAACTAAATGTGCTTGTGCTCATTTCTTATGAGGGAAAAAAAAGATATTTGCAATAGAAAAAAGGTTTATAGTTGCCCTTTTCAATCAAACTTCTCTTCAGTTCTGCCAAGATTTAGCTTGAATTATTCCCTGTTTACTGTTAATTTTTATCCCACATGCTCTACTTTTCTAGGTTTGGTAAACAAAAGTCAGACTCAAAACAGAAACCATCACGGTATTCCAAGACGTAACACTGTTTAGTGCACAAAATACTGGACCTTAATCTACTGGAACTTTGTAAATGCTGAAATCATCCAGTATAGTGTGTAGATGACACTGTGGTGCATGAGGTCATTGTAGCCATGTTCATTTATTTATTGTTTATCTTGTTTTGCGGAGCTTTGAGTTCCAGGTTATGGGGGCCAAAGTTAAAGGGAAACCATATTTGATATTCTTTCAGACTTATTGGTGTCAAACTGTAATAATGTTGATGGAGGAAAAAGGAAATGCCTTTTCTAGACAGACTTTCTCTTGGTCACCAAGTGAAAAATGATGTAAATAAAAAAAAGAAGAAATTCCTCATCCGAATGTTGAAAGTATTAAACATGTTTTTATATAATTGCGTGTCTTTTTTTCTTGGAAACAGTTAAAAAAGGTGTCCACTCTAAAGCTGGTCAAATACATT